TAGCTAGTGTCAGTGAGTACTAGTTGCTTATGTCCTTTCAACTTCTTCGCAAATGTGAAAAAATTAAGTCAAATTTAATAAGACAAATTTTTTGAGACAGTGACATTTTTCGATTTGTCTTTAACACTTTCAGTAATGTAGTCCTCAAATATGAATTATGCCTTTGTCACCCTCAGTGTCGGTTATTGGGTAATGATATAATTACACTAATTCATTTCAAAGGGTATCCTTGTTATCTAGGAGTCCTATAACTGAGTACTACTTTAGGGTATCCTTGTTATCTAGGAGTCCTATAACTGAGTACTACTTCAGGGTATCCTTGTTATCTAGGATAGGAGTCCTATAACTGAGTACTACTTTAGGGTATCCTTGTTATCTAGGAGTCCTATAACTGAGTACTACTTCAGGGTATCCTTGTAACCTAGGAGTCCTATAACTGAGTACTACTTCAGGGTATCCTTGTTATCTAGTAGTCCTATAACTGAGTACTACTTTATGGTATCCTTGTTATCTAGGATAGGAGTCCTATAACTGAGTACTACTTCAGGGTATCCTTGTTATCTAGGAGTCCTATAACTGAATACTACTTCAGGGTATCCTTGTAACCTAGTAGTCCTATAACTGAGTACTACTTTAGGGTATCCTTGTAACCTAGTAGTCCTATAACTGAGTACTACTTTAGGGTATCCTTGTTATCTAGATGTCCTATAACTGAGTACTACTTTAGGGTATCCTTGTTATCTAGGTGTCCTATAACTGAGTACAACTTTAGGGTATCCTTGTTATCTAGGAGTCCTATAACTGAGTACTACTTTAGGGTATCCTTGTAACCTAGGAGTCCTATAACTGAGTACTACTTTAGGGTATCCTTGTTGTCTAGGAGTCCTATAACTGAGTACTACTTTAGGGTATCCTTGTTATCTAGGATAGGAGTTCTATAACTGGGTACTACTTTAGGGTATCCTTGTTATCTAGGAGTCCTATAACTGAGTACTACTTTAGGGTATCCTTGTTATCTAGGAGACCTATAACTGATTACTACTTTAGGGTATCCTTGTTACCTAGGAGCCCTATAACTGATTACTACTTTAGGGTATTCTTGTTGTCTAGGAGTCCTATAACTGAGTACTACTTCAGGGTATCCTTGTTATCTAGGAGTCTTCCCTTAACCAACATTTACATGTACCTGGCTGAGACCCTCTGGTTTCATGCTTCTCTGCATTTATATATCTGACCAGGGTCTTCTCCTCATGCATTGCCTTAGCGTTTTCCTGACCAGGACCTTTATGCTCTAACTTGACATAAACTGACCTTTCCTGACCAGGACCTTTATGCTCTAACTTGACATAAACTGACCCGCTCACTGCCTGGAGCCCTCTCTGCTCTGCCTACTGCTTTATACCTGACCAAGGCCTCCTGTTCTAGTTCTACTTCAATCTATACTTAATAGAACCCTGTCTAGATGGTATTGCTACTTCTTTATGTCTTTAACATGTAAACCACCATGGTTTATGTCTAGAATAGAACATTGGTATATAACACAAATTCACATCAGCACATTTCAGATTAGTTTGCTTGATAGTTGTCTTTATTGATGGAGAAAAATCCTAATTTGAATATCCCATTTGCATTGGTATCAAAAGAAAAACATGTCATGACAGAAATTTGTGGTGAATGTGTTCAGTGAGGACAAACCACAGAGAAAAACACTGACTCCAACATTGTAATGACAACACCATTTTCCTGTGTGGAACACTTCAATTCAATTATGTATGTCACTGAGGTTATAAAACCAGAAGTTGTAGGAATGCTGGTTTTATGTAACAGGTCTTGGTATACGGTAAAAGAGGATATTATTGTGATGCAGAACTGTTTGCATTTTTTCACTCCGAATAAATTAGTATGAAAATATTCACAAGCAATATTTATAAAGTATAGAGATTATAGATATATATATAGATTTCAGAAACGTTGCTTGTATGAAGAATTTCCAGTAAGCAATCAGTTTGAAGAGACACAAAACATTTCCAAATAAGTGAATTTCCACTTTTTCAGGAAAGCTCAACACATGCAGTTTAAATGAAAATAGAAATGATGAGCAACAACACCACTGAATCCGATACAAAATTTAATGTTTTGATTTACATCCTACGTAGGATGTAAATCAAACATTAAATTTTGTACCAGATTCAGTGGTGTTGTTGCTCATCATTTCTATTTTCATCAAAATTGCTTTCCCTGATGAGCATTGTTGAATACCATTAAGGTATCCACCTCCAGTTGTTACATGCAATTTAAGTTTACATAGTATTATACATAGCAATTACATTGATTATGGTGAAATGAACACTGGGACACTAAGGAGTTATCAATGAAGGTAGAATTTTTCACTGAGGGAAATGTCCTGGTTGTTTCATGTCGTGGATGTAATGCATAAAAACTTCTGTGAACCAGCAGCAACATTTTCACACCTGCCAACCTCTTGAAGAAATTTCTATGGGGGAGGTTCTGCTTGCTCAAAATTAAAGCATCAATAGAACGTGTGTATGTACCCCGGCCCCTAGAGACAAAATATCGACCCTTTAAAAATGACATACAACTTGTATTTCGAGTTGCTCTTTCAGATGAGATCATTAGATCTTAGAATAAAGGAATAGTTTAGAAAACTCTCTGGCTGAAACTACCAAATCGAAGGGTCCAAAATCGGGAGCCATGGATTGTAAGTTCACATGCTTACAAAATGAGCATGTGTATACATAACAAATACAATGGTGTCGACTGCTGTAACAGGTCTCAATGAGAAACGGAGTGTGCCACATTACATTCTACAATATCAACAGAACTGGTATCATCATTAATTGATAAAGCTTAGCGATTTGAAGTCAGAGATTGCTTAAGGCAGGCAACTGCTCCCAAAGTGTATTTGGAGCCAAGCTGTTTCGTAAGATAAGCCTTGTGGTTGGCTTTGTGTTCCAATCTCCTAGTAAATGTTATTTGTATATATATACATATAGCTTTCAGGCAGCTACACACCCAGCTGTAATTTGACAGTGTTTATTGACAGCTAGCCTCTGTCTGTTTCAGGGCTGTGCTTATGGTGAGATTTGTTACTGGTGGCAGTAAAGTCTGGTGATGACATGTCCACAGGGAACTGTCCTAACCGAACTGCTGGCAGTTGTGGTGTGTGACAATTTGTGACTGGGGTTTGGTTAAGGGCTTGTGTTGTTGCTGTGATTATTAGCATTAAAACGCTCCTAACAAAGCTATTGAGGAAGCCATATATTTCCAGCTGACTTGTGGTATCCATATGTTTCCCTGATTAACTCAGCACATGAGAGATAAAAGCATTGCTTCGTCAGAAGATAATGATCTGGTTTGTATAAAAAAAAGAAATTAAGTCTTTGCATTTCTTGATTTTGATGGTATATAATCTGTATTAAAACAGGGCCATACTTAGAGTCTGTTTGATTGGCTTTCTCATGTTATTGTAAAGTAGCCAGCTAATGATGTACAGAGAAACCTAGAATTATTTTACCTTCATTTTTTCCTCACCAGGGATCTTGTACTGATAATGTTTGGTAACTTACACAGTACATCCTCCTACTTGACTCAATGGTTGATATTCAGATGTAATTAAGATTCTAGTTGTACTGTCTCTGATGGTTATTATATAGATGTACTTTAGAGACCTGTTACGCTTTCTCAAATGTTGATATTCAGATATAATTTAGAGACTGTCACTAACAGACTACAATCTATCATTCTTTCGTGATGTAGACATAGAAATCTCAACCTGAGGGTAGATGTTTTAAGTTCAGCATCAGGCTTTACCCAGTACTAAACTTTACAATCTTATCCTGACAGTTGAAAATTCTCTGTCTGCATCACACAGAAGAGGTAATTGATTATTTTTTTCACACTTTCGTTTTGTAAAAATGAGTTGTATTGACGAGCACAATGCACATCGCTATCAGGAAGAGTGCACAAAATGTGTGACAAAGTTTATGACACTACCCAAGTGACTGCTTAAAATGATGAGTTGATGGTGACATTTTCAGAGTAAATAGCGTGTCAGCTGTCATCTTTCCCTGTGTAACGGTAAAGACATGTTTTTCTCCCACCCTTCACAGGCGTGTCTTCCGTTTTAGCTTGGAAAGATCAGCTTGCCACCCCCTAGGGGAAGATAACCTTATGCGGATTAGCACTTGTTCAATTGTGACGTCATTAAAATGCGCCACCGGTAATTATGACGTCATCAAAAGTGAATAACGATTTTTATACCCCACTTGTGTTTTTGTTTTCAAACAGACTACTATCGGTAGAGTTGTGGCTGGTATAATGGGGTGGGAGAAAAATAATCATCCCCAACCTTGAGGGTGTAACAGAGAAATCTCCAACCCTCAGGTGATTTTGTTGGTGTGCCGAGGGTTAGACAATCAAAAAACATCTCCCCTCGGGTTGGAGATTTCTCTGTCACACCATCAAGGTAGGGGAATATATTGTTAATCTTTCACAAGTATAAACAGGAGTGAAACTGTGAACTGTGGGAGGACATACTGTTATTGATGGTTGGTATTCAACTGAAATTTAGTTATTCATTACACTCAAGTGGTTGATTTTCATATGTAAAGAGACTTGTTTCATATTTTCCAATGGTAATATACAGTTGTAATTAAGAAGTTTTAAAGGGATGCAGCTAGAATGTCCAAGTCTCTCACCTCTTTCCTCCACTATTGGCAGTTCAGCAGGACATAAGACTGTCACTTGTTGTAAAGTTAGTTACTTTGTCCATCTTAAACTATCCAGGAGGACGTAAGACTGTCACTTGTTGTAAAGTTAGTTACTTTGTCCTTTCTCCTATACCCGTATCTTCCTGTATCTACTGTATGCTGGTGTTCTGTTTAGACCTAACAATGATACAAACCGTCACCTTCTGTTATGTTTTCATTATTGGTGTCTCCAATACTAAGTTAACGTTCGTTCACCTTTACATGTTTCAGGGAATGCCTATGCCTACCAAGATGATGAGACTTCCAGTGACAGTGACGATGAGGTGCTTAAGAGGTACCAGAGCACGCTCGCTACAACCCACAGCATACGACGGACAGATACGTCACAGAGTGTACGCAGCTCAAAGAGCGGAAAGAGTTCCAAAAGTAGAAAAAGTGTAACAGGTGAGTGATGATCACCTCAAACGTGCAGTAACTGGTTCTAATGTATTTCTTTGCTGGAATAACTGGGTGGGGGGCAATGTTTGGTAGTTGCAATGTCATAACGGTTATTACAAGGGCAACAAGTAATTCCTGGTACTGTACGTCCTCTGAAAGATTGTCGACTATGGCGAGCTCAGCACATTTGCTGGAACAAGGATGACAGTGGATGTAAATGTGCAATAATATTCAAAAAGTCATCAACATGATGGTAAATGTTCTCTGTCCATATAGTTGTTCTCTGTCCATATAGTTAATTATTTTTTCTTACTCAGGAAGATTTGTTATTCATGTCAGATGATTAGTTTGCTTATCATCTCAGAGCTATCCAATATTGTTTCCCTGGCAAGGAGACGATGAGGCCTACAGGAAACACAACGATATCAATTAGGTATAGACTACAGAAACAGGTTTAAAAAGTGTGAGGTGCTGACTTTGTAGATGGTGATGGATGTAAAGGTGTGAATGTACTGTTTCTGGCTATGTTGAGAGGGAAGGGGAAGATGGAGGCACTAAATAAAGAGGATTTTAGGATACTTCACAACTATTTTGAAATGTTCACAAAATACCAGCAGGCCTACAGAATTGAGGGTTTGTAGGCTAAAATTAAGGACAAGAAAACCTGAGGAAGAATCTGCAGAAAGCACATTTTCAATTGTGTAGATAAGGTAATGGACAATACATTAAACTAATGGACCTCTGAAACAACTGTTTTCCTGTTTGTGAAGGCAATAGTCTACAACATTGACCCAGAGTACTTTGTACCTGCCCTAATTTAATTACCAAAGCTTCAGATTTAGCAACAAAACTTTCACTTTGTTAAAAAAATAAATAAATATGTTTTGACTTGAATTGCCCTCACAAGTACATTTGGACAATTGCAAGCCATTGGTAGTCACCTTTGTCTGAGGCCAGCTTGAATGGGTTAAATACTCGGTAGCAAGATCTAAGCTTGATACCAAATTCTTTTGTTTAGTTGTAAATTATGTTTATAAAATTATTCTGATTTACTTCTCAATAAAATACTGTTTTAAGTAATGGTATAGTTCCACATTCCACCAATTGGTATATTATGCAGTCTCCAGAAGACATGGCATCAGGTCCGATAATTGGTTGACTGATTTATGAAATAACAAAATGTTTAAAGAAAGAAAATGAGTAAGCAATAAAGAAACACACGAAAGATAAAAAAAATAATCCCAGGTTGTATAAAACAGACATCCAGGAGAAGCCATTAGATTCCTTTGTTCCGTCATGTCATATATGAGCAGGTTGTATAAAACAGACATCCAGGGGAAGCTATTAGATTCCTTTGTTCCGTCATGTCATATATGAGCAGGTTCACTCCAGCTCTTCTCGTTAGGGTCTGTCATCTCATGGTTGGTAATGACTTTTTTCTCCAACTGTTTGTCAGGTTATTAGGAACACCTGCCACGTTAGAATTATTGCAAGCTCATGCAAAGTCATCATTTAACAATATGGTTGCCTGGGTGTGTTGAAGCAGTGAGGCAGATGTGTCGGGATAATAGATAGTAATCGATCAGTATATACACAAGTACTAATTATAGACATCAATTTATTTACAAGCTAAAGTGCTCAAAAGTGTCTTCCATTCATAACACCAACCAGAACTGTCTTCTATCTTCAATCCAGCACAAATAATTCTATGAGACAATTTACTGTCTCATAGTCAAACCTTTTATCGGTATGTGTCTCAAAGTCAAAACCTTTTATCGGTATGTGTTCCAAAGTCAAAACCTTTTATCGGTATGTGTCTCAAAGTCAAAACCTTTTATCGGTATGTGTCTCAAAGTCAAAACCTTTTATCGGTATGTGTCTCAAAGTCAAACCTTTTATCGGTATGTGTCTCCAAGAAAAATGCCTAAAACAATTTGATGTATCAACATATTGTGGCAAAGTAAAATAAATGTAATTCTTCAGTGTTTCAGTGAACTATCTGAAGGTCAAAATACTCTCAAAACCTAATGTGTAGCAGCTTTCTGTCTCAAACCAATACCCTCTGATTATGCAGTCTGTTTGTTGTAAATGTTGAAATATTATACCCAGGAGAATAAATGTACATCAGGTTCAAACTGCGAACAATACCCTGCATAACCTAGTGACACCTTTTGTTTTCCTTAGAGAGTTTCTCTGTGGCTAATATTTGAAAGCTTCGTGACATCAGGTATAAATGATAAGACTTAACAAGGAAACAATTATTTTTATCTACATCTCATGAATATGTGTCCCCCTATAATCATGTGTTTATATGTAATCCTAGTGTTTTATAATAAACCTTATTTAGTGGTTAACTAGGAAGGAACCAGGCCTGGGGCAAATATGTGGGCCAATCTGCTGGATTAATACTGATGCTACTTATATGTACAATGTTAGCCGGAGGGGCCTGGAGTTACACAATGTCAATGTATTGCATCTGCCATTGGGCCAGTTGCTGTGTGTATGGTGATGAGATTATGGTGTCTGCAGTAAATTGTGTATACAGGAGAACAATGACAGCCTATATAGAATCCCCACTAATACAGATGTATTCCAGAGTACAGCAGGGTGTCACCATCACTGTTTGAAAAATTAATGTTCAAAATCTATCATGTTTTATACCTTATGGAAAATCAATTGAAACATTGTCAGGAGTATAAATCAAATGAGAAATGGAAGGACATGCCATTTACTGATCCTGTTTATAGTCTATAATCCTTCCGAACATTCCCATAACCATCTATACATTTTCAAAATACAATGCCATCATTCAATATATATGACTGCCTGCTCTTATATATCCTACATAAAAGGCATGTCACACTCAACAACAACCAGCCAATGGAGCGGGAATGGTAGGCAGCTGGGTTACACAGACAGTTTTAAACAGTAAAATAGTTTATGGGATCGTTCGGTATATAACGAAGGTGGGACAGAGACATCTGCTCCTGAGATGGAGATTCTTCTGACTTGAGGCTGATTCTGCAGTGGGTATAGACAGTAATCTCCTCCAAGGTTAAACGGTACTCTTTAAAATGTCCTACCCTCAAGTAGGCAATCATCCATATCCTCAAAACCAAATGAATAAAGAAAGCAATGACACACATTATAGGCTTAGATACATATCAATGATAATTCTTATTGTAATTCATAGGATTTAACATAAGTATAACAATTGAAATTACGCATTTAACTGCCTCGAAAGGAAAAGTTAATCATTGAGTAAGAAAGATGCTTATGTTACTTGACAGAAAGATTGAAGTGCCATACGCAAATGTGTAACTGTTAGACCATATAGGGGTGCTGCTGTTACAGCAGGGGATCACTTGTATGGGATACTGATAGACAGTTTTCAATTGTCAGCATTTTGTCATGTTATAAACAACTGATGGCTGACATTAATATTTTAAACGTTTTCAGACTCCTGGCTGGTCGGTTACAGTTTCAGAATCATTTATAAATCTGCCTGAACTCTTGGTGGTGATCATTTATAAATCTGCCTGAACTCTTGGTGGTGATCATTTATAAATCTGCCTGAACTCTTGGTGGTGATCATTTAAACAGCTGTGTTATCTTTGTTACTAATTGAGTGCCATCTTGGGCTTGGTCTACTGGGTATTAGAAGATGCTGTGATGTGAATGCCACAAACCATTATCAAAACTGTGTGGTAATGCAAGCCCACACCTTCTCCCCTTGGGGCAAACAATGCTTGCTGACCTTTAGAGCAATTTGCATGATTCAAAACCCTTTTTCTGTGGGAAGAGATAGTGAGTCTTGCAGAAATCTTTCAGGACGTGTAGCTGTATCTAGGTTGTGTAATAGGAATGGAGAGATTGGGATTACAGCCTGTTGGTGCTGATCATTTGGTTGTCTGATTGTCTCCATGTTAATCTGTTAAGATAGAAAAATGCTTGTCCCTAGGTTAGTCTATGTTGATCGAGAAAGAAAACTGATGTCTTTAAGTGGTTTATTAATACAGTAACTCAATGTCCTTAGGATTGTTTATCAAATTAGAAAGCTGATGTCTCTCAGTTGGTTTAACTTTGTTAACTTGAAAAACTGATATAGTCCATAGGTTTGTTTATTGGCACTGGATGCATGGTTTCATTTGAATTTAAATGTATTGGTATGTAGGCAAAAAGTCCTATATTAATACATACTTCAGGAGAAGGCTGATACTGGTATAGCTTGTTTTTAGCTCACCTGGCTTCTCAATAACCAAAAGGCCCAGGGTACTGATATTGGATCTGTAGCATGCTGGGATAAAGGGCTACCACGTTTGTTCAAACGAATGACCTTGACCCACTTTCAAGGTGACAGGGGTCAAATGTCTTAAATCTTCAAACAACTTCTTCTCAATAACCAAAAGGCACAGGGCACTGATATTGGGCCTGTAGCATGCTGGAATAAAGGACTACAAAGTTTGTCCAAATGGAAAAAACCCTTTTAACAACTTCTTCTGAATAACCAAGAGGTATAAGGTGATGATATTTTGCCAGTAACATGCTCGGATGAAGGGCTACCAGGTTTGTTTAAATGAATGACTTTGACTTATATTCAAGGTCACAGGGGTTGAATATGTTAAAAACCTTTAAAAGAACTTCTTTTGAATAACCAAAATACCTAGGGTGATGATATTTGGCTAGTAGCATGCTAGGATGAAGGGCTACAAAGATTGTTCAAATGAAGGACCTTCATCTTTTTTCAAGGTCACAGGGGTCAAATGTGTTTTAAACCTTTAAACAACTTCTTCTGAATAACCAAGAGGCCTAGTATAATGCCAGTAACATGCTGGGATGAAGGACTACCAAGTTTGTTCAAATGAATGACCTTGACATATATTCAAGGTCACAGGGGTCAAATATGTTAAAAACCTTTAAATGACTTCTTAATAAGCAAAAAGGCCAAGGGTGATGATATTTGGCCATTAACAGCCTGGGATGAAGGACTACCAATTGAGTGACCTTCGCCCATATTCAAGGTCACAGTGGTCAATATATGTTTAAATCTTTAAATGATTTGTTCTGTATAACCAAAAGGTCCAGGGTAATGATATTTTGCCAGAAGCATGCTGGGTTGGAAGACTATTAACTCTTTTCAACCTTATGTCCTTGTTCGGGAGTCAAGGTCACAGGCGTCATATGTTTAAATCTTTTAATAGGTTCTTATGAATCAACCACTGATATTCTGCCTGTAGCTGTATTTTAGTCCACTTTTAAGATTACAAATGTGAGATTAATACCAGGTGAGCGATGCAGGCCCAATGGGCCTCTTGTTGGAGAATACTGATATAGGCACAGTCTACTGTTTTTGGAGAATACTGATGTAGGCACAGCCTACTGTATATGGAGAATACTGATATAGGCACAGTCTACTGTTTTTGGAGAATACTAATATAGGCACAGCCTACTGTTTTTGGAGAATACTGATATAGGCACAGCCTACTGTATATGGAGAATACTGATATAGGCACAGTCTACTGTTTTTGGAGAATATTGATATAGGCACAGCCTACTGTATATGGAGAATACTGATATAGGCACAGCTCGTGTTTTCTTCCTTTGGTTAATACATGTTTTTTATTTTCACCTGTGTTTTATATGTTAAATTGTATATATATGTGCTGAAATAACTTTTTGTTTTAATTGAAAATATGTTATAAAATACTCATACATACGGATCTATTTAGAGCAGAAATATTTGCAGCTTTTAAGTGATGTGAAATATATATTTATTGTAGCGATTACATATTTTGTAAATTGATAACCTAATGATTTAATAATTCAGTCATTTAAATTCTGAAATAAGGTTCTTGTATTTCCAGAAAAAAGCTACCTCACTCCAAAAGACAAAGTATCGCTGGTGCATGAAGGGGAAACTGGGTCCTCTATGGAGGAAGTGCCACAGACCCCACGGGACTCTAGCGATGAGGAAAGTGTCCTCCGAACCACCACCCCCAAGGAAAGCATTGAGGGTGGGAAGAGGAGCAGTCGAGCTGGGAGTGGAGGGGTGTCCCCAGAACCCTCCACAGCCTCTCTGTCACCCAAAGGCTCACAGGCACAACTCACATTTGACAATCAAGCCTATCAGGGGGAGATCATTTCACCGTCTGGCAGTGAGCAAATATCTCTTGTAGGAGGAATGTCTGCAGATGTAAGTAGTCAGGGCTTACACTTAGCTTTAGAGTGAGACAAAACATTCAACATTGACTGGATTATGTTTGTCAAAATGTGCTCCTAGAGATTTAAAATGTTGTTGTGATATTTTAAGATTGAGTCTTTCAGATTTGTGATCTGTCATAGTTGGTGAATGTTTATCTTTACTTTTGTCGGTGTTTAACAGAGGACATTCTCCCTTGTCACAGATTTGAACACGATACAAACGATATCATTTAATGGAATCACTCCAACTAGAAATAGACATCGCCTTGTTATGTCACAGACTCAACTGAGAAATAAACATCACCTCGCAACTCAACCAAGAAATAAACATCACCTTGTAATTATATAATGTCACAGACTCGGTTCAGAAATAAACATCACCTGGTAACTCGACCAAAAAATAAACATCACCTTGTAATTATATAATGTCACAGACTCGGTTAAGAAATAAACATCACCTGGTAACTCGACCCAGAAATAAACATCACCACGTAATGTCACAGACTCAGTTCAGAAATAAACAGAACCCTGCCATACATATTCATCCCTAAATACACAGTACCTTATAATGCCCCTATGAAATACTTTGGACTACCTCCCTTCTCATTAGTCCAATCAGCAATGTGCAATTTAAGCCCCTGAAATAATTATTTTAGAATATTTGATAAAGCTGATCTCCTAAGGGATTTTAGTAATCTCATATTAATACAGATTGTCATGTTATAATTCCCTATAATTTTGGGTTGTGTTATTGTGTTGGGAATTGTACAGGAATCAGATTTACTATCATAAATCTTTCATCATCATCTTGTGATATTGCCATTATGTCAGGTAGTAATAACGTGTCTAGATTATGTTTTAAAGCTACACAGATTCAGATTTAAAATCATAAATCCTTCATCATCATCCTGTGATATTGCCATTTTGTAAGGTAGTGATATAGTCAGTCCTAGGTGTTAGTGATAGCTGGGGTATCCAGTGTACTGGTGGCTCAGCTAACCAGCCCTAGGTGTAAGTGTTGGCTGGGGTATCTAGTGTACTGGTGGCTGTGCTAGTCAGTCCTAGGTGTTAGTGATGGCTGGGGTATCTAGTGTACTGGTGGCTGTGCTAGTCAGCCCTAGGTGTTAATGTTGGCTGGGGTATCCAGTGTAATGGTGGCTGTGCTAGTCAGCCCTAGGTGTTAATGATGACTGGGTTATCCAGTGTAATGGTGGCTCAGCTTGTCAGCCCTAGGTGTTAGTGATGGCTGGGGTATCTAGTGTACTGGTGGCTATGCTAGTCAGCCCTAGGTGTTAATGATTGCTGGGGTATCCAGTGTAATGGTGGCTCAGCTAATCAGATTTATGTGTAAGTGTTGGCTGGGGTATCTAGTGTACTTGCGGCTGTGCTAGTCAGCCCTAGGTGTTAATGTTGGCTGGGGTATCCAGTGTAATGGTGGGTGTGCTAGTCAGCCCTAGGTGTTAATGATTGCTGGGGTATCCAGTGTAATGGTGGCTCAGCTAGTGAACTTTAGGTGTAAGTGTAGGCTGGGGTATCCAGTGTAATGGTGGCTCAGCTAGTCAACTTTAGGTGTAAGTGTAGGCTGGGGTATCCAGTGTAATGGTGGCTCAGCTAATCAGTTTTATGTGTAAGTGTTGGCTGGGGTATCTAGTGTACTGGTGGCTGTGCTAGTCAGCCCTAGGTTTTAATGAGTGCTGGGGTATCCAGTGTAATGGTGGCTCAGCTAGTCAGCCCTAGGTGTAAGTGTTGGCTGGGGTATATAGTGTAATGGTGGCTCAGCTAGTCAACCCTAGGTGTTAGTGATGGCTGGGGTATCCAGTGTACTGGTGGCTGTGCTAGTCAGCCCTAGGTGTTAATGAGTGCTGGGGTATCCAGTGTAATGGTGGCTCAGCTAGTCAGCCCTAGGAGTAAGTGTTGGCTGGGGTATATAGTGTAAGGGTGGCTCAGCTAGTCATCCCTAGGTGTAAGTGTTGGCTGGGGTATCTAGTGTACTGGTGGCTGTGCTAGTCAGTCCTAGGTGTTAGTTATGGCTGGGGTATCTAGTGTACTGGTGGCTGTGCTAGTCAGCCTTAGGTGTTAATGATGGCTGGGGTATCCAGTGTGATGGTGGCTCAGCTAGTCAGCCCTAGGAGTAAGTGTTGGCTGGGGTATATAGTGTAAGGGTGGCTCAGCTAGTCATCCCTAGGTGTAAGTGTTGGCTGGGGTATCTAGTGTACTTGTGGCTGTGCTAGTCAGCCCTAGGTGTTAATGAGGGCTGGGGTATCCAGTGTACTGGTGGCTCAGCTAACCAGCCCTAGGTGAAAGTGTTGGCTGGTGTTTCTTGGGGACTGGTGGCTGTGCTAGTCAGTCCTAGGTGTTAGTTATGGCTGGGGTATCTAGTGTACTGGTGGCTGTGCTAGTCAGCCCTAGGGGTTAATGATGGCTGGGGTATCCAGTGTACTGGGGGCTGTGCTAGTCAGCCCTAGGTGTTAATGAGTGCTGGGGTATCCAATGTAATGGTGGCTCAGCTAGTCAGCCCTAGGAGTAAGTGTTGGCTGGGGTATATAGTGTAATGGTGGCTCAGTTAGTCAGCCCTAGGTGTTAGTGATGGTTGGGGTATCCAGTGTAATGGTGGCTCACCTAGTCAGCCCTAGGTGTTAGTGATGGATGGGGTATCCAGTGTAATGGTGGCTCACCTAGTCAGCCCTAGGTGTTAGTGATGGCTGGGGGATCCAGTGTACTGGTGGCTGTGCTAGTCCGCCCTAGGTGTTAATGATGGCTGGGGTATCCAGTGTGATGGTGGCTCAGCTAGTCAGCCCTAGGAGTAAGTGTTGGCTGGGGTATATAGTGTAATGGTGGCTCAGTTAGTCAGCCCTAGGTGTTAGTGATGGTTGGGGTATCCAGTGTAATGGTGGCTCACCTAGTCAGCCCTAGGTGTTAGTGATGGGTGGGGTATCCAGTGTAATGGTGGCTCACCTAGTCAGCCCTAGGTGTTAGTGATGGCTGGGGGATCCAGTGTACTGGTGGCTGTGCTAGTCCGCCCTAGGTGTTAATGATGGCTGGGGTATCTAGTGTAATGGTGGCTCAGCTAGTCAGCCCTAGGTGTAAGTGTTGGCTGGGGTATATAGTGTAATGGTGGCTCAGTTAGTCAGCCCTAGTTGAACCAACACATACTTCATGTAGCTCATAAACTGTACATAACCTGTCTAGATTATGTATTATATATTTTATGAAAACAAAAATCTCACTATTGTTTCATCTTTGACATCATCACCAATGTTCCTTGTCACCATATTAAACAAGTGATAAAATCTTACACTGCAGAGTCAGGGATATATGATAAATTTGTTGAGGTTAATAAGACAGATTTTGTAAATGTTAATTTGTGAACATTATTCTATGAACAGGAACACTTGTTTGATGTCAGTGATCTACAGAAGGAGCCTCCATTAATCTCTAAGTGTGGCAGTTTAGAAATGACATTTTCCTATGACCCTAAACGAGGTCGTATGGCGGTGACGATACACCAGGCACAGGAAATCCCGAGTAAGGAGAGAGGCGGAGCCAGTAACACCCAGGTCCGGCTACTACTCCTCCCCTCAAAGAAACATCGCTTCAAAACCAAGGCCAAGCCTGGCCAAAACCCAATGTTCCAGGAAACTTACTTATTCACTAAAATTCCACAAGGTATGATAATCATGTGATACCTTTGGTCAGATATAACACTTTTCTCATGTGACACGCTTGATCATGTGAAACACTTGATTCTATGAATCGCCTGGTCATGTGACACACTTGATTCTATGAATAGCCTGGTCAGGTGACACACTTGATCATGTGACACACTTGATTCTATGAATAGCCTGGTCAGGTGACATACTTGATCATATGACACATGTTCTTATGACATGCTTGGCCAGGTTGCACACTAAGTCAAATGACATACTCGGTCGTATAAGATACACTTTATCAGTCAAGGTAAAAGAGTCACAAAGTCACACTTGAACCCTATAGGTGTGGTGGTAGATATATCTATGTGAGCCCCTGCTAACTTTGCTTTATCATTATGTAAAAGATTATAAGGATTTGTTGTTTGTAGAATATGAGTATAATTATTAATCTCCTAAATATGTCATTGTTATACTTACTAAATAGGTACATAATACATAGTTCTGATCCCCTGTACAGTCTGTGACTTTATTTGACCACAGAGGAGGTACAAGGCTATGGGATCCGGATACGACTGTACGGTCTAGAGCGGATGAGGAGGGAGAGGATGATTGGAGAGAGCATTATTGGCTTCGCTTCTCTAAACCTGGAAATGGCATGTACCCACTGGATCATCCTAGAACCACGCAGTAATCTCAGTGTAAGTGTTGTTACACCTAAAACTCTTGAAGTGATGCAGTGTGCATGTTATTAATAAGGCAGAACTTAACTGGAGCATTTACCAGGTAGCTCTGTTGATTGGAGAACATATTCAGATTCCTGTCTAACCTGTGCAATCTCCGCTCCTACTACATTCGGTGTCTGACTAAATATACTCAAGAAAAGTGGCTAATTTCTAAGGTAGCATAATTTTGTCTTTTGGCTCAGATACTTAACTGTAGGACAGAGGTATGAGGTGGGACTGGCCTGGGTCAGTGGGTAGTGACGAGATAGCTGAACTGATAAAGCACCCCACTAGCATTGGTGTAACTGAGATGGTATACTGCTACATTGTTTGATGTGTCTCTGCAGTGAGCTGTTGTGCTACGATGACCAGTTTTATATCATTAGAAAATCACCAGAAGGATTGAAGTTCTTCTCCATAACGATCAACTTGCTCGATAAGTCTACATAATGTATAAATAGTGTAAAACACTGTTAAGTCGTAATCTTTGTCTTCATACACAGTAACATTACCTGTGGTCTAACACTGTATACCAGGCAGTACCTGTATAGGCCTACCTTAGATATGTATAGGCCTACCTTAGACATGTATAGGCCTACCTTACACATGTATAGACCTACCTTAGACATGTATAGACCTACCTTAGACATGTATAGGCCTCCCTTAGACATGTATAGGCCTACCTTAGACATGTATAGTCCTACCTTAGACATGTATAGGCCTACCTAAGACATGTATAGGCCTACCTTAGACATGTATATGCCTACCTTAGACATGTATAGGCCTACCTTAGACATGTAAAGTCCTACCATAGACATGTATAGGCCTACCTTAGACATGTATAGGCCTACCTAAGACATGTATAGGCCTACCTTAGACATGTATATGCCTACCTAAGACTTGTATAGGCCTACCTTAGACATGTATAGGCCTACTTTAGACATGTATAGGCCTACCTTAGACATGTATATAAGCCTACCTTAGACATGTATAGGCCTACCTAAGACATGTATATAGGCCTGCCTTAGACATGTATAAGCCTACCTTAGACATGTATAGGCCTACCTTAGACATGTATAGGCCTACCTTAGACATGTATAGGCCTACCTTAGACATGTATAGGCCTACCTAAGACATGTATAGGCCTACCTTAGACATGTATATGCCTACCTTAGACATGTAAAGGCTTACCTTAGACATGAATATGCCTACCTTAGACATGTATAGACCTACTTTAGACATGTATATAGGCCTACCTTAGACATGTATAGGCCTCTCTAAGACATGAATATGCCTACTGTAGACATGTATAGGCCTACCTTAGACATGTATAGACCTACCTTAGACATGTATATGCCTACCTTAGACATGTATAGACCTACCTTAGACATGTATACGCCTACCTTATACATGTATAGGCCTACCTTAGACATGTATATGCCTACCTTAGACATGTATTGGCCTACCTTAGACATGTATAGACCTACTGTAGACATGTATAGGCCTACCTTAGACATGTATAGACCTACCTTAGACATATATAGACCTACCTTAGACATATATAGACCTACCTTAGACATGTATAGGCCTACCTTAGACATGTATAGGCCTACCTTAGACATGTATAGGCCTACCTTAGACTTGTATAGACCTACCTTAGACATGTATAGACCTACCTTAGACATGTATAGACCTACCTTATACATGTATAGGCCTACCTTAGACATGTATATGCCTACCTTTGACATGTATTGGCCTACCTTAGACATGTATAGACCTACTGTAGACATGTATAGGCCTACCTTAGACATATATAGACCTACTGTAGACATGTATAGGCCTACCTTAGACATGTACAGACCTACCTTAGACATATAAAGACCTACCTTAGACATATATAGGCCTACCTTAGACATGTAAAGGCCTCCCTTAGACATGTATATAGGCCTACCTTAGACATGTAAAGGCCTCCCTTAGACATGTATATAGGCCTACCTTAGACATGTATAAGCCTACCTTAGACATGTATAGGCCTCCCTTAGACATGTATATAGGCCTACCTTAGACATGTATAGGCCTACCTTAGACATGTATAGACCTACTGTAGACATGTATAGACCTACCTTAGACATGTATATAGACCTACCTTAGACATGTATAGGCCTACCTTAGACATGTATAGGCCTACCTTAGACATGTATATAGGCCTACATTGATCAATATTAATTAAACCGATACCATTGTTCACTGGTATTGATTTCATATTAACATTATCCTGACTTTCTTCTTGTAAGCTTCAGTATTGTTATCTGAATCAACGTTTAACTTGAATTATTTTCTTGCCGTGTACAATATTAGCATAGTTATTTATATGTTCACAGTAGGCTATAAGTAGATGTCAGCTCGTTAAAATTCCATCCTTAACTTGAGGTATTAATCGTGTGGTAAATAGGCTGATTTTGCATTTCCTTCTGCATCTCCAGCATTGATCCTGTGTGGTTTTTTGTGCAGTCTATTGTTCTGATGATTTGTGTGTGGCTGATGTTATGATTGATAGCAGCGTCTGCTACAGGAGACAGGTGTAATTATCTTAATGAATCCTCCCATCATTGTATGTGCAAGGTGTTGATTGACAGCTTGTTTACAGGAAACTGGTTATCATATCTCTCTAATAGTATCTTAAATTGAATTTACTAAACACAATATTGATATGCAACATTTTAATTGGATTTCAGTTGGTTTCAATATGCCTCCGTAACTGCCAGAGCTGAACCATATAAGGGTTGTCAGAATTGATATTTAGAATCTATAGCCTGATGTACGTCATGAGGTACAATGCTGCGTTGGTATACTGTTGGCTGTTTGTCTTATAATTGCTGTCTAACCTGTTAAACAGGCCACATAACAGATACTTCTCTGTAAATGTCTACACCAACAATCCATACAAAGGTCACCTCTATATAAGAATACCTGTGTATAAATTCTATTTAACAAATTATTGTCTTTAAATTCTATATGACAAATATCTGTCTATGAAGGTGACCTCAATTCAACATATACATCCATATATGTCTGTAAATTCTGTTTAGCAAATACGTGTCTAGGAAAGGCCACCCCAAAAATATTGATGTATCTGTCTATAACTTCTACATAAAAATACCTGTCGATAAAGGTCACCTCTATTTAACAAATGCCTGTGTATAAAGGCCACCTCTTTCTAGCAAATACCTATCTATAAAGGTCACCTTTATATAACAAATACCTGTTTAATTCCTTGTCCTGTTTATTTGAAGCATTTCATGAGTTATATTTCTCACATTTAGAAAACAATGCATTGCTATTTCATTACAGATGGAATTTTTATAGGGAGCTTTCATAACAAGTTTGAGATATTTGATTCCTGTGTTGCTGGTTGTACTTGCTGTAAAACTGTTTTACTTTTAGTCTCAAATTATTTATAGAAATGTATACAACCCAAATGAGTTCAAAAATATAAAATGATGTAGAACCATGTCATGATAATTTAAGTGTGATTTTAGGAAAATTGATAATACAGGAGAAAAGGAAATAGAGGGGAAATTGTGAATACAGAAAAAGAAGATGGGGGAAAAGAGTGGGAATATAGGGGGAAATGGAAATTAAGGAGAAAGTGGGAATATGTGAGATATTGAGAATGCAGAGAAAATTGGGAATTAAAAGAAATGGTGTTACATAGGGGAAACTGTAAACACAAGAAAAAAGTAGAAATACTGGGATAAGCAGAAATACAGGGAATGTGGGATTACAGAGAAAAGAGGGAAAGATGGTAAAGTGGAAATACAGGGAATAGTAGGAAAAGATGGGAAAGTGGAATTACAAAGAAAAGTGGTAATGCAAGGGAAGAGTAGAATACTCGTATAAGCAGAAATGCAGGTGAAAAGTAGAAATACAGATGAAAAGTTGATATACAAGGAAAAGTAGAAAGATACAGGTGAAAAAGAAATTTGAAATTTAGGGAGGAAAGCTGTAAAACAGTAGAATAGTGACAATAAAGGGGACTGTGGAAATAAAAAGAAAAAATTTAATGCAATAGAAAGAAGAAAACCTGGGAAGAGTAGATTTATAAGCTAGGGAATAGTTGGAAAACAAGGGAGAAATGGAATTAAAGGAAACAGTGGGAGTATAAGGAAAATTGGACATGGAAAAATGGAAATACTTTGGGAAAATAGGGATCAAGGTGAAAAGTTTGAGTACTGAGAAATGTGAGAATATATAGAACAGAAATGTTGGAAGATAGGCTACAGTCAGATTAGAGCGGGAGTACCCCTGGCTGTCGGTAGTCCAGGCTACAGTCAGGTTAGAACGGGAGTACGCCTAGTTGTCAGTAGTCCTGACCAAGCTTTTATTAGAGTCAGAATGGAAGAAATATCTGATCTCATGCTTTACAGCATCGGCTGTGTCAAGAGATAAAACAATCTTTCCCATGATTTATCATCATCCAGTCCTGTGTTTTACTCTAGATTTGTCATGCTATGAGGAGTAGTTTCATGGAGTGCCTTTATGTGTCCTGTGCTATGAAGGACATAACCTGGACTTTATGACACAGCTGGGATGTAGTGTACTCAGGCATGTGGAATGTCTGTTGTTGTTACGTGACGACTCGTGCTCTCAGCAGCCAATCCCAACTTAATACCTCGCACACAACGATTTATTACATCTCCAATAGATCATTACATACATATTTTATTGATGGAAATACTGGTACTTAGTTTAAATTTGAGACACAACCTGTCACTACCTCCCAACCTATTGTCTTCATTAGCCCACCATCAACAAGTGATGCACTTTTCAGATCTGTTCCCGCCGTCCATGGTACGGTCTTCATCTGTCAGTCAATCAGTCAGTCAATAAACAGTTTTGTTGCTGCTTTTTCTCAGAAACTACCCACAGGATCATGATAGAACTTGCTATGCGTGATCAACCAGGTCCATACTTGTGCATGCTTCATTACTATACAGAACTGTAGAGATCAGGCTTATTCTGGGCCTGAAAATTCCTCGTTTTCTGTACAGCACTCTAGAGAGGCTTGTTCTGAGAATCAGAATTCACCTTTTCCTGTACAGTAATTGTACTATTACTCTAGAGAGGCTGACAATTGTTCTGAGTCAGAGAATTCCCCATCTCCTGTAAAGAACTCTAGAGAGGCATATTCATGACCTTAGAACTCCCTGTCTTCTGTACAGAACTGTAGAGTGGCTTGTTCTGAGCCTTAAACCCCCCCCCCCCCCCTTTTTCTGTACAGTAGAGTCCCAGTGTACAAGGATACATAGAAACTGAAAGTCAATCATTTTAACATCATTCTATGAGCTGTTAGGTTAGGATGGCACAAATAAATCACCTCTTTTTATTTTGATATCACTATCAAATGTCCTGTAATAAACAGCACATCGATTGTTAGGGATGGGTTATCGAGTGGAGAGCATCAATGTCAGTGCTCTCCATACTTCAGAACAGTAGTGTTATCTGTAATTGTTTCAGTTGACCTATCGTCATGGCTGGCCTCCTCCAGTTGTATCTAACCCAATAAAGAGACATGTGTGCTTCCTCTATTTACTTGTGCATACTAACTTGATCCATTGTCTCTTTGTTTGCTCCCTAAATCTATATCCTGGTCATCATCCAGTCTCCCACTCAACAGACTTCCCTTCATCCATCCCAAATCACAGCCACCAACCCTTAAAGCTCCGTTAGTGGTCATAGAATTATCTGTTAAATAATGCTACCTCATGGCCAAAAGGGCGGCAGAAGTACTGATTTTACTGATTGGCAAGCAGCATAATGACCATTATTGTTTGTGTATTGATACAAGTCACCAAATTAAGGGGTGAAGAAATGGGCTTTTGATTATTAGGCAGTTAGTGGGACCTTCCCCTGCACCTGTCACAAACAGAGTGCATCTATTCAAAAGGAAAAGATGACCATGACAACGTCGTACTGGGTATAACGGCTTTAATACACGTTTACTGTGACTAGATTCGACACATGAGGCGTGTCATCAGAACAAATTTAAATACAAAAAGACAGGTATAAGATTAAAATTGTTGTGCCAACCTGGTAACAGTAATAACAAGGTTTGCTTGAAGGAGTAATACATAATGCATAATCAAATGATGTCATCAATAGCAGCAAGGGCTGGCTAAAATGCAGGAATTAAAAAAAAATGCATCTATGTTATTTGAGCCCACTGTATACAGATATAGAATTATAAAATCAGTGTCCTTGTTCTGATGAATAAATGTCACAATGAAATTGTCCTGTGCACTCTCATCAATAAATCTACTTCTATTCATTTGTATATGTTTTCCAAATAGTGATATTGTGTTAAGATTGTCTCTCTTTCCTGATCTCTATCATTGTGATTTGTAGGGTGGGGATTGTGTGTCTCTTTCCTGACCTCTTTAAGTGTGATTTGTAGGGTGGGGATTGTGTCTCTCTTTCCTGACCTCTATCATTGTGATTTGTAGGGTGGGGATTGTGTCTCTTTCCTGATCTCTATTATTGTGATTTGTAGGGTGGGGATTGTGTGTCTCTTCCCTGATCTCTATTATTGTGATTTGTAGGGTGGGGATTGTGTCTCTTTCCTGATCTCTATTATTGTGATTTGTAGGGAAGGGATTGTGTTTCTCTTCCCTGATCTCTATCATTGTGATTTGTAGGGTGGGGATTGTGTGTCTCTTTCCTGATCTCTATTATTGTGATTTGTAGGGTGGGGATTGTGTGTCTCTTTCCTGATCTCTATTATTGTGATTTGTAGGGTGGGGATTGTGTGTCTCTTTCCTGATCTCTATTATTGTGATTTGTAGGGAAGGGATTTTGTGTCTCTTTCCTGATCTCTATCATTGTGATTTGTAGGGTGGGGATTGTGTGTCTCTTTCCTGATCTCTATTATTGTGATTTGTAGGGTGGGGATTGTGTGTCTCTTTCCTGATCTCTATTATTGTGATTTGTAGGGAAGGGATTGTGTGTCTCTTTCCTGATCTCTATTATTGTGATTTGTAGGGTGGGGATTGTGTGTCTCTTTCCTGATCTCTATTATTGTGATTTGTAGGGTGGGGATTGTGTGTCTCTTTCCTGATCTCTATTATTGTGATTTGTAGGGTGGGGATTGTGTGTCTCTTTCCTGATCTCTATTATTGTGATTTGTAGGGTGGGGATTGTGTGTCTCTTTCCTGATCTCTATTATTGTGATTTGTAGGGTGGGGATTGTGTGTCTCTTTCCTGATCTCTATTATTGTGATTTGTAGGGAAGGGATTGTGTGTCTCTTTCCTGATCTCTATCATTGTGATTTGTAGGGTGGGGATTGTGTGTCTCTTTCCTGATCTCTATTATTGTGATTTGTAGGGTGGGGATTGTGTGTCTCTTTCCTGATCTCTATTATTGTGATTTGTAGGGTGGGGATTGTGTGTCTCTTTCCTGATCTCTATTATTGTGATTTGTAGGGTGGGGATTGTGTGTCTCTTTCCTGATCTCTATTATTGTGATTTGTAGGGTGGGGATTGTGTGTCTCTTTCCTGATCTCTATTATTGTGATTTGTAGGGAAGGGATTGTGTGTCTCTTTCCTGATCTCTATCATTGTGATTTGTAGGGTGGGGATTGTGTGTCTCTTTCCTGATCTCTATTATTGTGATTTGTAGGGTGGGGATTGTGTGTCTCTTTCCTGATCTCTATTATTGTGATTTGTAGGGAAGGGATTGTGTGTCTCTTTCCTGATCTCTATCATTGTGATTTGTAGGGTGGGGATTGTGTGTCTCTTTCCTGATCTCTATTATTGTGATTTGTAGGGTGGGGATTGTGTGTCTCTTTCCTGATCTCTATTATTGTGATTTGTAGGGAAGGGATTGTGTGTCTCTTTCCTGATCTCTATCATTGTGATTTGTAGGGTGGGGATTGTGTGTCTCTTTCCTGATCTCTATTATTGTGATTTGTAGGGTGGGGATTGTGTGTCTCTTTCCTGATCTCTATTATTGTGATTTGTAGGGAAGGGATTGTGTGTCTCTTTCCTGATCTCTATCATTGTGATTTGTAGGGTGGGGATTGTGTGTCTCTTTCCTGATCTCTATTATTGTGATTTGTAGGGGGGGGATTGTGTCTCTCTTTCCTGATCTCTATTATTGTGATTTGTAGGGTGGGGATTGTGTCTCTCTTTCCTGATCTCTTTCATTGTGATTTTTAGGATGGGGATTGTGTGTCTCTATCCTGATCTCTATTATTGTGATTTGTAGGGTGGGGATTGTGTCTCTCTTTCCTGATCTCTATTATTGTGATTTGTAGGGCGGGGATTGTGTCTCTCTTTCCTGATCTCTATCATTTTGATTTGTAGGGTGGGGATTGTGTGTCTCTTTCCTGATCTCTATTATTGTGATTTGTAGGGAAGGGATTGTGTGTCTCTTTCCTGATCTCTATTATTGTGATTTGTAGGGAAGGGATTGTGTGTCTCTTTCCTGATCTCTATTATTGTGATTTGTAGGGAAGGGATTGTGTGTCTCTTTCCTGATCTCTATTATTGTGATTTGTAGGGTGGGGATTGTGTCTCTCTTTCCTGATCTCTATCATTGTGATTTGTAGGGTGGGGACTCCAGGTTTGATGTGTCAAGTCTGTCTCGCAGTGACAGTGCTTCGTCGACACAGTCCATGCAGCATGGCGGTATGCCTGAACTGTTACTAGGTCTTGCCTACAATGGTACCACAGGAAGACTTTCTGTTGAGGTCATCAAGGGAAGTAACTTCAGAAACATGGCGATGAACAGGGCCCCAGGTAGGTACAAAGAACCTATAGCCAAGAATCAAGGCCCCAAATTACATTAATAGAGCCTAAACCATGAGTAGGGCCCCAGGTATGTATGAAGCGATATCTCATTATTCAGAATGAGATTCGTCAGGTTGGTATGAACAATACATGCTTTGTGCAGGTATTACTACCATCACCACTGTTCTGTGGTTTTAGTGTTTGTGAAAAAATGTAAAACAAATATCAGATGAAAATTTAAAAAACGTGTCCGACTTTAAACCACATGGTTCCAGGGTTGCATTGATTATTATGATCCAACAATTACTTAATATAAGCAGACTTTTTATGACACCTGTCCCTGCAATTTCTTCAGACACATACGTGAAGTTGACACTGATGTCACCTACTGGCCAGGAGGTAGCACGGAGTAAGACGTCCATCAGACGTGGTCAACCTAATCCTCTGTTCAAGGAGACATTCATGTTCCAAGTGGCACTGTTCCAGCTCGCGGAGGTCACACTCATGGTTTCTGTGTACAACAAACGCAGTATGAAGAAGAAAGATATGATTGGATGGTTTTCTAGTGGTAAATATGACTGTGTTCTCCATTGATAAATATCTGAGTAAGACTGGCCATGCCCTGCAGTTGTCTTTCTTAAGACACTGACCATGTGATGATTTACCAGTCATCAGTATCTCCCTAAAACTGGCCGTTTGTTTTCTGGTGATAAATATCCTCTGATGACACTTACTATGATATGAGCTCTTGTGATATTTATTTCCACCGATGGTAAATATCACTCTAAAACACTGGCCATGTCCTCAAATGTTTTAATTAATACTGTCTCTAGATAATACAAGGTACATACGTAAAGTCTTGTTCAAATTCTGAGAAAATTAAAAAGGAGGTGTCTAAAAAAGTACGCCATCAGTTTCTGTAATTTTCTATTTCTGCAGTTTCCTTTTTGATTTTTTCTTTTTGTGCATATTCCAGTGATATCATCAGTTTCCGTTTCATTTGCAGGTCTGAACAGCAGTGGTGATGAAGAGTTGTCTCACTGGACGGACATGAGGGAAAGTAAAGGAGACCAAGTGTGTCGGTGGCATGTCCTTCTAGAGTCGTGAAACAGCCTCATGGTCCTAGTCCACACCTACCACATAGACCCCATGGCCACTCTGACATCACTGTGACATTACCGACGCTCACCTTCACATGCAATACTTATATAAATCCTACGGGACTTGTTCTTGGTTGTGTTGATGTGTTGGTGGCAGCTACCACAATGTTGTATCTATGACTACAGTGATTCAGGCCTGTCTCTATGGAGACCAGGAATCTCATTGTTTTCATGAGGACAGATTTGATATTTCAGTCATAATAGACTAGAGCATAATATACCTTGCTTCATCTTGAATACAACTCAGATTCCTGTTACTATGGCAACAGAGATTGCCTGGTGTTATTCTAATCACTCCAGATATCAACAGACATTTCAGTGTGGTCATGACAACTGTACAACTCCATGGTAAAGAGACATTCACAAATCAGTGCCAGCCTCTTTTCAAACTACGTGGTGGAGTGTCTGCACCTTTACTGTGACCTATAGGAGAGGCCTCGGAAGAGTCACAGGGAAGCATCTCTGAGTTACTAATCTAGACAGTCAAAGGGAAGCTTCCCAATGACCAATTTAGGAGGTCAAAGAGGAGCTTCTCAATGACCAATCTAGGAGGTCAAAGGGGAGCTTCTCAATGACCAATCTAAGAGGTCAAAGGGGAGCTTCTCAATGACCGATCTAGGAGGTCAAAGGGGAGCTTCTCAATGACCAATCTTGGAGGTCAAAGGGGAGCTTCTCAATGACCAATCTAGGAGGTCAAAGGGGAGCTTCCCAATGACCGATCTAGGAGGTCAAAGGGGAGCTTCTCAATGACTGATCTAGGAGGTCAAAGGGGAGCTTCTCAATGACCAATCTAGGAGGTGAAAGGGGAGCTTCCCAATGACCGATCTAGGAGGTCAAAGGGGAGCTTCTCAATGACTGATCTAGGAGGTCAAAGGGGAGCTTCTCAATGACTAATCTAGGAGGTCAAAGGGGAGCTTCTCAATGAGCTATCTAGGAGGTCAAAGGGGAGCTTCTCAATGACCGATCTAGGATGTCAAATGGGAGCTTCTCAATGACCAATCTTGGAGGTCAAAGGGGAGCTTCTCAATGACCAATCTAGGAGGTCAAAGGGGAGCTTCTCAATGACCAATCTAGGATGTCAAAGGGGAGTTTCTTAATGACCAATCTAGAAGGTCAAAGGGGAGCTTCTCAATGACCAATCTAGGAGGTCAAAGGGGAGCTTCTTAGTGACCAATCTAGAAGGTCAAAGGGGAGCTTTTCAATGACCAATCTAGGTGGTCAAAGGGGAGATTTTTAATGAAAAATCTAGACAAAGACATTGCATGTAGCTACTTAATCAGTGTAAAAATCTGTGTCCAATTTTACTTCAAAACCATCATTATTTTATGGATTTCTTTAATATACATGTACTATTATCAAGGCTCTTATACACAAGGGTATTTTACAATCACTCCTCACCTATATGTAGAGAAATTTCTTTTTGTTGCCTGGTAAAATTGAAGCCAGGTTCATCTCTGTATTCATTTAGTAAAAATGTACATAACTAGGGGAAGTATTCCTTAAGATTCTCCATAAAATATTTTGCTATGACGAACTATTTGGAGCCTATATCGTCATCGGATGCTGTGCTATGATCGCTTTCTTTTAAAAACTACTGCCTGTTCATAAAAACAGTGTTTATTACTGTATTGATCCAGCAATAAATACATGTCTGATAATAAGCCCACCCCTGTCAAATACAGTTCAGTAGAAACGGAAACACATGCCTGATAATAAGCCCACCCCTGTCAAATACAGTTCAGTAGAAATGGAAACACATGCTGGGCTTACTGCAGTATAATTATATATTATACAGTTTGAAGATATAGAAAATTCATCTTGTGAACGATCAATTCAGTGAAGCTTGAATAGTATATTATCTGCACAAATTAAGTTTAATTTTACTTAGCATATAGATTATATATTTTCATTGAGGGATTTGATTTGATATCATTTGATATTCTCATTATGTATGAAATTGATGATTTAATGGATAGAAATCAAAATTTAGAAAACAAATCTATTAATAGATTTTAAAACACATTTTTAAATCTGTTAGTGATATTACAAAATAAAATCATTATGATTAAGTTCAGGATAGAAGTCAGCAAACTTCCATACCCCCCTAGAATTAGCAACCATCAATTTGTTGTTACGGGTAGTACTTTGTTAAGGACAGTCTAGGAATTGAGTACTATCACTTATAGTGCCAAAAATTACTTTATTAGCAGCTGTTCAACTGTTCTTATTCAATTTTCCTTAATGTGATCTATTAAAAAACACACACTTATATCCTTCTGGTATTATCAATTATTTGACAATGATTTACAGTCTTGGTTCACAGTAACACATGCTGAGGTGAGGGGTCGTGGCTGATCTGTTTGACAATCATCCACTGGAGTGAGGGATGGCCGCGACAATCAAATAATGGGTGGCTACACTTCCTCTGAAACCCAAGTGACGGCTGACCACACTTGTTTTGAAACCCAAGTGACGGCTGACCACACTTGTTTTGAAACTCAAGTGACAGCTGACCACACTTGTTTTGAAACTCAAGTGACGGCTGACCACACTTGTTTTGAAACTCAAGTGATGGGCAGTCACACATGTGAAGTAATAAATGACCAACTACAAGGACTCTTTTAGACTAGTCTAGATGAGATATAGGAAAGTCAAACATGTGGTCACCACAGTATGCGAGATATTCTAAAATCTGTGTTTAGTTTTTGTTAAGTTTTTGTTGCACAGAGAAATAGTACCAAAAATACATTTATATGTACAAAAAATATCATAAGGAACATACAAATTAATGCATTACGATGAAAATCTATAAAAAGCATTCATAACCTAAGTTTTTTGATAGAAACATTGAACAATTTATGACAGACTTGGCTTAGTGAGAGGGAGTAAGACTTGGTAAGAGGAAGTTAGACTTGGTTAGAGGGAGTTAGACTTGGTTAGAGGAAGTTAGACTTGGTTAGAGGGAGTTAGACTTGGTTAGAGGAAGTTAGACTTGGTTAGAGGGAGTTACACTTGGTTAGAGGGAGTTAGACTTGGTGAGAGGGAGTTAGACTTGGTTAGAGGAAGTTAGACTTGGTTAGAGGGAGTTACACTTGGTTAGAGGGAGTTAGACTTGGTGAGAGGGAGTTAGACTTGGTGAGAGAGAGTTTCCCTTCTTTCTTGTCTCTTGTCACTGACTCAATACTGACAACACACTGGACATTTTCCGTGGAATATATTCAGTAGAGATCTAAACCAGTACTTACAGAAGTGGATAGGGATCCTGGTCATAAAAGATGGTACTCTATATTATAGATATGTATACATGTATATTAATTGTATTTCTATCCAAACTGTTATTAAGAAATGATGTAACTCATCTAAGCCAAGGTTTGAACATCATCAAAGCAGATTAATGCCTTCAAATAGGTGCTAAATTCAATTTCTTTAAACGAACTATAATCCTCCTTTTTCCCCCCAGCAATATCTGTATGTCATATCTGAATACCACACCTGTATATCATGTCTGAATATATATACCACACCTGTATATCATACCTGAATACCACACCTGTAAATTGTACCAGTATACCTGTAATTTGTTTATCTTATGATCTAGAGGTACTCTGGTAGATCTTCCAGAGGGCTCACCTCTCAAGTCAATTGAAATACTTGGTTCAGGTCAATGGTTAAAGTGTGTTTGTTATATAGCAATGTAAGTGTTCACTGTGTCATACTGTAAATTTTCTCTCTGACAGTTTGCCTATTTAAACATTTCAGAAATTAACATTCCATGTAATAGTTTTTGATTTCTATCTTATGTCATTGTATCTAACTGGACCAGTGTGACACCTGGTTTTATTAGAATAGATCTAATGTATTTATCTATATCCGAGTGTGTATGACAAGGGAGGCTACTCCCCTGGCTTTATGTGAAATGTATTTAAGTCACTATAAGTAATAACTAAATTCCATATTTGAGAAAAATGACTGAACTCTGTTACTTGTAGCAAAAAAGTGTACTGATAATTTGTTAATTTTAATTAATTACAGTCGGATTCTCCTATAAATAACACCACCCACAACTTAATATCTCTGACACTTCAACTCTCGGTTGGAAGACTTTCCTTTTCTTATAAAGAAAATTAATATTTTCCCAATAAAATGTTGCAGTTTATGAGTGTTCTAAAGTGGGCGTGTGTAGGAGTTGGTGAAGGGGGAGGATAACAACACTAGTTCAAAATAGCATTCAAATAGTACACCTTTATAAGTGATTAAGGAATCACTACTGTAAAAGTGCTCTACTTCTTTGTTGTATTTTAATAAATATGTATCAGTGCAATCTTTACTGTATATTGTGCTTCTAGCACCTTATTCTTGATTATTTCAATTCACTAAGGGAAAATGAAGTGATTGTTGTTTCATGTTTATAAATGTATGTATAAATACTCGCAGAATAATAAATTTATAAATGACTCTCCTCACATATTAACAAAAACATAACTATACCAGGATGTGTTGTGAAGTGTAGTGATCTACAGAGAAGTCCAGTGTTATTACTAAAACAGTGTATGTGGATTGTACTCAGCTAAATGTATGTAAACCCTTAAGACTTGACCCATTGCTCTGTGTTTAGGACTTGACCCATTGTTCTGTGTTTAGGACTTGACCCATTGCTCTGTGTTTAGGACTTGACCCATTGCTCTGTGTTTAGGACTTGACACGTTGCTCTCTGTTTCAGTTTTCCTCGTTATACTCATTTTGAAGAATCTCAAGTTACCAAATGATTCCAGCTGATTGTTATTGTTATGAGATCTGGTTATGATGTGATATATGGTAGTTATGATGGAATATATTAGACCAGTTATAATGGGATATATTTGCTTCAGTTATAGTGTAGTAATTGTATTAATTTTGTTTATGATATAATATATTTGGTCCATTTACAATATGATATATTCGTTCTGTTTACGATGGGATAATATATATTAGTTCTGGTTACAATGCAATATATTTGATTCATAAAGGATAGGTTCATATAGCATAACCAGTGAAATGTTAATTTGTGACATTTTGATATCTAATGTAGCATGATTTGTTCTCTGTCAGTAAAGTTTGTAAGTACTTACGAGATGGCAATGAAATCAACAAGTAATCTTAGGAGTTAACAATATACTTAACGGGTACAGGAGGCGCGGTAGTCTAGTGGTAGGTAACGGGACAGGAGGCGCACTAGTCTAGTGGTAGGTAACGGGACAGGAGGCGCGGTAGTCTAGTGGTAGGTAACGGGACAGGAGGCGCAGTAGTCTAGTGGTAGGTAACGGGACAGGAGGCGCAGTAGTCTAATGGTAGGTAACGGGTACAGGAGGCGCGGTAGTCTAGTGGTAGGTCATCGGGCTCGTGATCGAAGGGTTGCTAGTTCGAGGCACGGCACAGCACTGTGTTGTATCCTTGAGCAAGATAATTTACTCTGCTTGTTCCAGTCTACTCAGCTGTAAATGTGTACGTGGTTGGGCAGTGCTAGAACTGTAGAATGTAGCTGTGATTGCCGGAATGGCAGCACCGGCTGTATGCTCCCAGGGAGTTGAGAACGATATTGGCTGGTTGCAATGGCCCTATAACCATGGATAATAGTTTGTGATCCGCTTTGAGATGATCTATGAACTAGGTTGTGATAAAGCGGTATATAAGAACCTCAAATTATTATTATTATTATACACTTTAAGTGTAGCTACATTTCCTTGTCGTACATTTTGAACATCTTGGTGTACACACGCTTTACTGGTCCTATTTTTAGGGCGGTAACAGAGTACATGTGGTATCAGACATCAAACGTCACACACAAAACATGTCACTGGTTGTGATATATCTGTAGGCAGTAGATATTTACCAACCTGAAGAAATTGTTTTGAAGTATGGTTACAATGCAATATATTAGATCTGGTTACAATGTGATGTACCAGATCAGGCCTTAGTGCCAGGAAACTTCTTAAATCTTAGAACATTCATAAATGTTACATTCCCTCTCCAATGTTCTTAATTTCAATTTTCTGCAATGCATTCCCCTTTTCAAGTTACCGGCTGATTTCTTAACATTTATTGATAATTGTTGTATTATTTCAACAACTATTTCAGGAATTAAAGCCCTTAAATAAATCTGATCTTGGGAATTGAGAACATTGGTTCTGTAAGATTCTGACCCATTCCTCCGCTGTTTTCTACCGTTAAACATTAAAACTTACCATATTAGTAAGTTTTGTTCAGATTTTTTTTTAACTTTTGTTAACATTTCATTTTTTCCTTCAAAATACATGTGTTTTGTATAAGGACAAAGGGTGTTACTTTGTTATGCATTCTCTGTAAGGAGAGACTCACTCTAATATCATCTTTGTTAAAGTCTGTATATTTCTATGACATTTTGAAGTTTGTTCGTTATTGACTCTACAACTTTTGTTTGCGGACTATGCATGTGTTAATGTTTGTATCGGGAAAGTGTGATCTTAATTGTGTTCCTTGATACCCTCTACTGATCTATTTACATGTGTTTATCAAAAAATGTTATCAAATTCGTGTTGAAAATAACTGTTTTTTATTTAAGGATTGATACACTGTTTATTTTCTGTGCGAACAAATGCCGATAATCTTTATGTATATGACTTTGGAAATATGCTTTTTAGTTTTCTTTATTTAATCTTTTTAGAAATATTTACAATATTGTATCCTCACTAGGTATATTTTTATGTTATGTTTATATAATTTTATTTACATCTGCTGTGTTTGTTCAGTTGTATTTCACACCTGGATGTATTGCTGAAGTTTGGTTGTGTTAAATGTATATCCAAGGTCCTGTTGTATCATTAGCAAAGGGAGACAACCAGTGTGTCGTATGATTGGACATTTCCACTGATAATTGCTGTTATAATTACTTATAATGTTCTCAATAGCTTTAATTTAGACTTCTTACCTAATGTTGGGTTTCGTTTTTTAAGCAACTTGTTTTAGTTATCTGTTTTATTTTAGTATTTAGTTGGTAACTGCTTCATCATTGTATCAGGTGTCGGGTGATCCGCCATCACTGTGTCTCCGTGACCCAACACCGGTGAGCTGTATCCAAATCCTACATTTCTTATAACTCACTGAAATTGTGTGATCAAAAAGTATAATCTAGACATTGATAACTTTATTTGGCTTCAATGCCTTCCCTATTTCTACCAAATATTGATAAATTGGATAATTTCTAATTATTGTTCACCAGACAGAATCTGATTTTAAGGATGAACAGTTTCTAACAGACGTGTACATGCCTCAGTATTTACATACACATTTAGATGTCTGATAAGTGTGTATGCACTACATTTACACTGCCTCCTTATAGCTGGTATTGTGTTCAGAGCAAAGAGACTTGATTGTTTTTATTTGATGAAGAATTGTTGTTTCAGAATTAAATGTTGACATATGAAGGAGAGCTGAAGACATTTTGTCTGATTGCTGGCTGTGAGGGTTGCTTGCTGTAACTTGGATATCTGTTGTAGTGTTATACTATAACACCCAGATACAGGGTACGACAGTGATGCTATAAGAGAATAATGATGTGAATGATGATGTCACAGAAACGCTCTGTGCTGTATTGCTGTAAGAGATTGTGATTTATAAAGCTCAACACCAATACTCGGGTAGCATGCTTTAGACCTTACCTATTCCACTAACCGTAACTAAGGTGTGGTGTAAAATGTGTATAGATGGGGTATCTTTACCCGAATGTTTTTAACTTATTTATTCCTTTAAAGACTTATTGCTATCCGTCAAGAAGTGCTTTTACCAACCTCTCAGTAACTAATCAAGTAAGTAAAAATGTGAAATGGAGATTCTTAAATTTGTTTGTTTATGTTTCAAGACTTGTGTCTTCAACACACCTGAAAAGGCCGCTTTTAGAGCTCAATGGTATTAAATTACAATACTCCAGCAGTATGAGCTAAAATTGTTGGGATCCATTATATTGGTCTTAAATAAGCATATATAAGCTTCGGTCATTTTGTTGCTATCCTGTGACTCACAATAATATTGTTAAACTAGGCCTATTCAGTAAATGTTCATAGAATGCAGAAGTAACATGTACAAGTGTAGCAGGTTGTTTGTAGATTTAATGACAAGTATTTTTATTTATTTAATGACAAATCATATAATATCATACATCTTTTGTTTTTAATTTGTTTTTAATTTTCTGCAGTTAAATACCAAAGCTTTTGATCAGTTGAATTAAAATTAGTAATATGTTATTATCATTTAAGACATTTAAAAAAAAGTTATCCTGCATTACATTACTGGTAAGGTGGTGTTAGTCTTTACATTGCTGTAGTGGATTTAGTGAGATGATAAATAACCTGTGTTAATGGATCGGCCGGAGGTGTAGAAACATTAGATGTGATGGGTTTATATGTGTGACCAGGTAATGCGGAGAATGTCTGTAAACTCTGTGACAGTGTACAAAGCCTGTAGACTCTGTGACAGTGTACAAAGTCTGTAGACTCTGTGACAGTATAGACTCTGTGACAGTGTACAAAGTATGTAGACTCTGTGACAGTGTACCAAGCCTGTAGACCCTGTGACAGTGTACAAAGTCTGTAGACTCTGTGACAGTGTACCAAGTATGTAGACTCTGTGACAGTGTACCAAGCGTGTAGACTCTGTGACAGTGAACAAAGTGTTTAGACTCTGTGACAGAGTACAAAGTCTGTAGAATCTGTGACAGTGTACAAAGGGTTTAGACTCTGTGACAGTGTACAAAGCCTGTATACTCTGTGACAGTGTACAAAGTCTGTATATTCTGTGACAGTGTACAAAGTGTGTAGAATCTGTGACAGTGTACAAGGTCTGTAGACTCTGTGACAGTGTACAAGGTGTGTAGACTCTGTGACAGTGTACAAGGTGTGTAGACTCTGTGACAGTGTACAAGGTGTGTAGACTCTGTGACAGTGTACAAGGTGTGTAGACTCTGTGACAGTGTACAAAGGGTGTAGACTCTTTGACAGTGTACAAAGTGTGTAGACTCTTTGACAGTGTACAAAGTGTGTAGACTCTTTGACAGTGTACAAAGTCTGTAGACTATGTGACAGTGTACAAAGCGTGTAGACTCTGTGACAGTGTACAAAGAGTGTAGAATCTGTGACAGTGTACAAAGTCTGTAAACTCTGTGACAGTGTACAAAGGGTGTAGACTCTGTGACAGTGTACCAAGCGTGTAGACTCTGTGACAGTGAACAAAGTGTGTAGACTCTGTGACAGTGTTCAAAGTATGTAGACTCTGTGACAGTGTAGAAAGTGTGTAGACTCTGTGACAGTGTACCAAGTATGTAGACTCTGTGACAGTGTACAAAGCCTGTAGACCCTGTGACAGTGTACAAAGTCTGTAGACCCTGTGACAGTGTACAAAGTGTGTAGACACTGTGACAGTGTACAAAGTCTGTAGACTTTGTGACAGTGTACAAAGTCTGTAGACTATGTGACAGTGTACAAAGCGTGTAGACTGTGTGACAGTGTACAAAGTGTGTAGACTATGTGACAGTGTACAAAGTCTGTAGACTCCGTGACAGTGTACAAAGTATCCAGACTCTGTGACAGTGTAGAAAGTCTGTAGACTCTGTGACAGTATAGACTCTGTGACAGTGTAAAAAGCCTGTAGACTCTGTGACAGTGTACAAAGAATGTAGACTCTTTGACAGTGTACAAACCTCCAATATACATATATGCCATTTAATTTGAACTATAAAGATTTAGCATTCTTAATTGGTATGTCAGATGTCAATTTCTGCAAATTTATTATAATATTAAGTAGAATTATAGAGATATTTTAAACATTTTTAAATGTATCTTTCACATCTATGTTAGATGCCATGCATGTCAATGAGATGTTTTATTAAATGGTTATTCTTATGATGCTCAAAATGTTTCATTTGTGTATTTAGGTTTGACAAAGGATATTCAAATATTAGCTGTGTTATAGTCACCAAGATAGGCATTCGATTTTCAATGACGTTAGTAGAGTTGTTTCCCCTTGTTCAAGAAGTCTTTACTGGTTGTGGAAGTAGTATGTTATATAGAACGTTAAAATATTTTGAAAATGTTTTAAGATTTATTGATATAAATATTGCAATACTGTTTGAAACACTTCATTAATGTCTAAAATGAACATGGAGATGAAATCTCACAACTAGCATCTCAATACAATAAATTTTTGTTGTTTAAACTGAAAAGCAGTTTTTGTGTATTTGTGACTGATAAGGAGATGGGAATAGAATGCAAAAATGATCATGTACCAAAGACGCCATTGTCACTACAAAAGTGAGCTCACGTTCTACAGAAACATTTGTCTACTACTAGAGACCTCATGTTACACAGAAACGGGTCTCCACTACACGAGAGCTCGACATGTAACACAGAAATGGTCCTACACTACAAGACAGCTCATGTAACACAGAAACAGTCCTCCACTACAAGACAGCTCATGTAACACAGAAACGGTCCTCCACTACAAGACAGCTCATGTAACACAGAAATGGTCCTACACTACAAGACAGCTCATGTAACACAGAAATGGTCCTACACTACAAGACAGCTCATGTAACACAGAAACGGTCCTCCACTACAAGACAGCTCATGTAACACAGAAACAGTCCTCCACTACAAGACAGCTCATGTTACACAGAAATGGTCCTACACTACAAGACAGCTCATGTAACACAGATAAACAGTCCTGCACTACACTACAAGACAGCAGACACGGTCCTCTACAAGAGACCTCATGTTACACAGAAGAAACGGTCCTCCACTACAAGACAGCTGATGTTACACAGAAACGGTCCTACACTACAAGAGACCATGTTACACAGACACGGTCCTCCATTACAAGACAGCTCATGTAACACAGAAACAGTCCTACACTACAAGACAGCTCATGTAACAGAGAAACGGTCCTCCACTACAAGAGACCTCATGTAACACAGAAACAGTCCTCCACTACAAGAGACCTCATGTAACACAGAAACGGTCCTACACTACAAGAGGTTATGTAACACAGAAACGGTCCTACACTACAAGACAACTCATGTTACACAGAAACGATCCTCCACTACAAGACAGCTCATGTTACACCACAGAAACAGTCCTCTACTACAAGAGGTCATGTTACACAGAAACAGTCCTCCACTACAAGAGGTCATGTAACACAGAAACAGTCCTCCACTACAAGAGACCTTATGTTACACAGAAACGGTCCTCCACTACAAGACAGATCATGTTGCACAGAAACGATCCTACACCACAAGACAGCTCATGTAACACAGAAACAGCCCTACACTGCAAGACATCTCATGTTACACAGAAACGGTCCTACACTACAAGAGACCTCATGTTACACAGACACGGTCCTCCACTACAAGACATATCATGTTACACAGAAACGATCCTACACCACAAGACAGCTCATGTTACACAGAAACGGTCCTCCACTACAAGAAAGATCATGTTGCACAGAAACGATCCTACACCACAAGACAGCCCATGTAACACAGAAACAGCCCTCCACTGCAAGACATCTCATGTTACACAGAAACGGTCCTCCACTACAAGAGAGCTCATGTAACACAGAAACATTCCTACACTACATGACAGCTCATGTTACACAGAAACAGTCCTACACTACAATATACAGCCTCCACTACAAGAGACCTTATGTTACACAGAAACGGTCCTCCACTACAAGACATATCATGTTACACAGAAACGATCCTACACCACAAGACAGCTCCTGTAACACAGAAGCAGTCCTACACTACAAGACAGCTCATGTTACACAGAAACGATCCTACACCACAAGACAGCTCCTGTAACACAGAAACAGTCCTACACTACAAGACAGCTCATGTTACACAGACACGGTCCTCCACTACAAGACAGCTCATGTAACACAGAAACAGTCCTCCACTACAAGAGACCTTATGTTACACAGAAACGGTCCTCCACTACAAGACAGCTCATGTAACACAGAAACAGTTCTACACTACAAGACAGCTCATGTTACACAGAAACGGTCCTCCACTACAAGACAGCTCATGTAACACAGAAACATTCCTACACTGCAAGAGACCTCATGTTACACAGACACGGTCCTCCACTACAAGACAGCTCATGTAACACAGAAACATTCCTACACTACAAGAGACCTCATGTTACACAGAAACAGTCCTCCACTACAAGACAGCTTATGTAACACAGAAACGGTCCTACACTACAAGACAGCTCATGTAACACAAAAAACGGTCCTACACTACAAGAGACCTCGTGTAACACAGAAACGGTCCTACACTACAAGACATCTCATGTTACACAGAAACATTCCTACACTACAAGACAGCTCATGTTACACAGAAACGGTCCTACACTACAAGACAGCTCATGTAACACAGAAACGGTCCTACACTACAAGAGGTCATGTAACACAGAAACAGTCCTCCACTACAAGACAGCTCATGTTTCACAGAAACAGTCCTACACTACAAGACAGCTCATGTAACACAGAAACGGTCCTACACTACGAGAGACCTCATGTAACACAGAAACGGTCCTACACTACAAGAGACATCATGTAACCCAGAAACGGTCCTACACTACAAGACAGCTCATGTAACACAGAAACGGTCCTCCACTACAAGACAGCTCCTGTAACACAGAGAAACAGTCCTACACAACAAGAGACCTCATGTAACACAGAAACGGTCCTACACAACAAGACAGCTCATGTAACACAGAGAAACAGTCCTCCACTACAAGACAGCTCATGTGACACAGAAACAGTCCTCCACTACAAGACAGCTCATGTTACACAGAAACGGCCCTACACTACAAGACAGCTCATGTAACACAGAAACGGTCCTACACAGCAAGACAGCTCATGTAACACAGAGAAACAGTCTTCCACTGTACAAGACAGCTCATGTAACACAGAAACAGTCCTACACTACAAGACAGCTCATGTTACACAGAAACGGTCCTCCACTACAAGACAGATCAAGTTACACAGAAACGATCCTACACCACAAGACAGCTCCTGTAACACAGAAACAGTCCTACACTACAAGACAGCTCATGTCCTACACTACAAGACAGCTCATGTCCTACACTACAAGACAGCTCATGTAACCCAGAAACGGTCCTACACTACAAGACATCTCATGTAACACAGATAAACAGTCCTCCACTACAAGTCAGCTCGTGTAACACAGAAACGATCCTACACTACAAGACAGCTCATGTAACACAGAAACTGTCCTACACTACAATATACAGCTTGTGTACAACAGAAATGGTAATACTGTGCATGTAGCAGAGAAACCAACATCCACTACAAAGAAGAACTTATGTATCCGGGGAAAGGTCCTTCGTCACGGTATACAAGTAATGAATCACAAAAATGTACCACAGATAAATGAAACTAACTGGAATAAGTCAACTTTATTTTACGATGGACATCTATCACGATCACACAAGTTTCTCATATAGATAGGTTTACTTAAATGGGCTATTTAGTTGAATGACACTATAAAAATAGAGTAGATTTTGATAATATATATCTCCTAAAGATTTTTTATGTAGGTCATATTGACATGACCTGAAGCCTATGTCCAATGTGGTCAGTTCTATCTTTTGGGAAATTTGGTGATAAAATTTGCTACGAAATAGCGCAAAATCTGGGCCTTTCAGTACCACACTGTCGACCTACTTCACACATAGCACATTCTTGTCGCTTTAAATTTACACAATACATCGCAAGCAGGAAGTATAAGTATTATATAATATATAAATCTAATGAGATATTTGTGTTCACAATTGGATTTGAATAAAATTAAAAGAAACAGGTTTACTGATTAGAGTATGCACACACTGAGAGTACCTCAGGGAGAACTTCAAACCGCACAAAGTATGATATCAGTAGGTTGAAACATAAAATAGATCACTCATTTACGATGAATGAGATGTTGTTTGGAAGATACTTTTGATTTAGAATAAATGCCTGTACTTGTATTGCAAAGGAGTTAGTTGAATGAAGCGAGAATTTACCTTCTTGTCTCGGCTGTAAAGACATTTTGTTAGCTAGAAGTTCACCGACAGTTGCCGCTAAAACGTACTGTTGTACAGTAAAGGATTTCTTCATTACGAATTAAAAACGCCAAGAAAAGTTAAACGTTGTCTCTTGTCAATTTAGGTACATGACTTGTTGATAAGGAGTGTCAGACTAATAAAATCTGAGCGAGATCGAGTTATCTCAGTCAAGGGTTAAGATTCTGTAACAAAATCCCAGCCGAGGTTGGGATGTTACAGAATCTTAGCCCGAGACTGAGATAACCCTATCTCACTCAGTTACAGGTAAATGATTTTTTTTTCTCTCGCAGTTTTTAGTTCGAAAAGAACTTTTCAATTTTGCTAAAAACTACAAGTATCCCGCCTTTGGACTCAAATGATAATGACCTCTTCACTACTAAAGCTACATTTGAATGCTTCCGCGTAAAAATGTAGTCCGTCCCTACATAGATTACAACATTATTCATAGTGAAGATTACATTTTATCTACAAAATCAAATATCTAACAACATCAAAACTATACATATAGCGACAAAACAGAACATTTATAATGCAGATTGTCAATTTCAAGCAGTTAACATGCAGATGAATACAACGCAGTGTAAAAATTGAGCGAAATGTCACGTAAAGGTACAAGACAGATCGGATGAGATAGAAAAATCTAGCACAGGTATAACGTGGGATATCTCTGTCTGAGGTGCAAGAACATGTTATCATGAGGAAGTTTGTAACAATTAAGATTATAAAAACTTGCTTCACTATAATTGTCCCTTTAACTCTCTACGATGGACACTTTCAATAGTCACAAAGATGTCTGATATAGACAGGTTTACTGTACCTGTCTACAATGGACACCTTCAGCAGTCACAGGTGTCTGAGATAGACTATATGACATCTTCAACAGTCACACAGATATCTGATAAAGACAAGTTTTCTGTACCCATATGTACAATGGACACTTTCAACAGTCACATAGGTGTCTGATATAGACAGTTTATATAATGGACACTTTCAACAGTCACATAGGTGTCTGATATAGATAGTTTATATTAATTGACACCTTCAACAGTCACACAAGTGTCTGATTATAGATAGGTATTTAACCTATCTACCATGTAAGAATGTGTCCTTTTGTACCCTAATTTTATTCACATGTTTGACAGTTTCTCATACACACGGAGTATTTTTTACAATTATATGGGATTATGGCGTTTAGGTTATTCAATGAGTGTTTTTCAGTTTTTACTACGATAAGGGGCAATAACTCATGTCGTACTCACACCACTGTCATTAATTGGCAATTAAACTAATAAAACAAACATTGTAATAAAATACACGTGGCTAGTATCTATATTTGTAAGATCCCGCCTGATAGGTTGTGACAGCTGTGAGCGCGCCAGTGATTGGCTGGCGTACGAGCCGTGACCCCGACTGCCTGAGATAGTTTGACAGAGTTACACATACTTCACAACTACATGTGCAGTGCTGTGTAGCGTTCGGTTTGTGTGGACTAATGCTTCTCGAAACATGGAATATTTATGCATGAATTGGATTGAAAATGGATGAGCCTGGCTAGGAGTAATGTCCAACGTGAAGGTAGCGGTGAGGGTGAGACCCCTGAGTGAAAAGTAAGTTTTGACTGCGCTAGCTTATTGAGTTACTAACGTAACGCGATAGCTTATGAATGTCGAGAAATATGTCGGATAGCTTTGTACCGTGATGATGTGAATACTGTGATTTATCGTTACAGAGAACGGGAGAAAAATGCCAAATGTATTGTGGATGTTAGTGGGGACACGGTCAGTGTGGAGAACATTAAGGTAAGCCTTGTCGCACCTGTGTGTTGGAGGCTGGACACTCGTGAGCGCGCGTGCTGTAACCGGCTCGGTTCAGACTAACGATTGCTAATAATCTGTTATAGACGATGTATATAATTTTAAAATAGTAATCTGATAAATCAGCTCAATATCTAAGATATACAGTTGAATTAAACTCAGAATAAAATAAATTGGGGAAAACACAGATGTAGCTGTACTGTCTGTGCATGATAGCTACAGTATAAACATTCACAAGAAATATGAGATCAATTAAATTGGGACGCGGTATGAAGTTACAGCAACGCAGAAAACCAGCCACGTACAAATGTCCCAGCCACCTAACTGGTAATGACCTAAATTATCAGATTTAGATTCGTATCAGAGAGGTCCCATATACTTAACATCCAACCCCTAACAGTCCCTTCTTAGGTCATGGTACTATACTTGCTCATCCAACCCCTAACTGCCCTTAAGTTTTCTCATCCAGAAAGTGGTATGTACTGTATGGCCGCCTTAGGCATGCTTCCCTGCTCTGAAAAGGTTTTACTTACCCTGACCCACTGCTCCATACCCTAATACTTAGGGAAGCCTACCTTCTTTATGGTGTAAGCATTTGGAAATCTCCATCACATACTTTGAACTAAAGATGTCTCATTAGAAAATAACGTGCATCTGAAATAACCAGAGTCCATTCTAGCATACTTACCTATACCTTTAAAATGTTAGAAGTGGAGAATGAGAAACTGGAATAAATAGTATATGTCCAGAGGTGACCTCTATTAAGTGATAGTGTAAAAAAAGTTTCAAGTTGTTCTATATGCAGGTAATCAATTTTAGTAAACATGTTCTAGGGAGTTCAAATATAAAAAAAATATATAAAAAGTTGAAAAATCGTGAGACTCCCTGTGATATATATATATAGAGAGAGATTTTGGAAGTATGTTATGTATTGTGTAATACCTTTATAAAGAACATTACAAGTATGATGTTTACTTTAAAACAATTTTATTGATCTTTCGCCTGGAATATACCTATATAACCATGCCTGTATATCTAGCGTTTATACATATCTACCCACTACAATAGGTGTGTCAACACTTCAACCAAACCCTTGCCCTATTGGCATGTGTCCAGTTAATTTTATTTTCTACCAGGTTTGAACACCCGTTAACATATAAACCTCCCACTACTGAGTTTAAACGCTTGATCCTAACTATTTCTGTTTAGTGTACTATACTCCTATAGTCGTAGTATTACTCTATAATTTGATATTATACTCAGCATACAATGTATGTATGTGTTCTACAATACCTGTAAATGACCATATTGTGTCGGTGGAGACCTCGCTTTGTGGTGTTGAGGAGATCCTACTACTGTTATCATTATTCTATTGAAAACTCATACCGCTATTTACAGCTTTCAAATAACAAACAGTTTTTCCAATTTACAGTAAGAAGAATCCAACAAAACCCCTTTTTTCCCTTTTGATTTGGGATAAGAACATTGAAGCTTACACAAGCTTATATAGAGATAAGTGTTGTTGAAGAATGGAAATCATCAACCAAATAAAAAATGTGTTTAAATGTTTTGGTGATTATAAGATTTGGGGGTGGCTGTCAATGAGAGAAGATTTAAGATAAGCAGGCGTTGTAATGGTATTGTGTGGTACTGCGGGAGGTGACGAGCGTATACACAACCTATTGGTAGGCTTCCTCACAGTTTACTCAGAGAGATCACTTAATCGGATAGCATGCAAAAATTAAATTGTCAGCAGTCTCAATTTAAAAGACAAAATCTTGTCAAGTATGGCACCTTGGCATAACTGTATTCTCTCCTAACACCCGTTTGATCACTTGAAGCAGGTCAGATGATAGCTGTTATATATGTATGTTACTTACTTAGCAGACACAATCGGGTTATGTGATCAATATTAAGTTCGTCAAAATCATCTGGAACATATTTCACGATAATGGCTAAAACCTGGCATATAAAAACATTGACGATTGATCAGGAGTGATAAAAAAGGAGGTTAGCTGATACACAGTGGGGTGTAGATTGAGTTATGGAATGCCGCCACACAAAATGTTAGAAAAACACCGGACTCTTTTAATATCAATCAACAGTATAAACACATTGGAGAACTTTTAAACTTTTGAATGAAGTTAATAAATCAAAAGGTTACAAGTTATGTGTAATCATTTTGTATCATTTGTTATCAAAAGAAAATATGACAGAACTTGATATTAATTACAATAGACTCACAAAAAGGCAAATATAAAGGTATTGGGATACAGGTAATAAAACACATAGGTCACATGATTTGGCAGTTTGTATATCATATCTTATTATAAGGTATGATATTGATATCTGTTTTACAAACGTGTTTCTTTGTTACAATTAATCGGATTGGCTTACAACATTGACACTGATAATATGAATTGGTGTCATGTTTAATGTTTTGATGTATATATAGAGACGTGAACTTTTTGTTGCTTTAAGGAAGAATTTGTTAATATTTATATTGTTTTAGACTCTGATACATATTTTCTATATTAGGTTTCAGATAAGAGATATCAAATGACTGAAATATTAAAGTATCAATATCAGCTTGCATTGGTATATAATCGTATTGTGACATATCACAACAAATAGAGAAATGTACCAAGAGAGGAAACGGTCTGTAATATGTGATTCAATTTGAAATATTAAACAAATTTGCATCCAGACTTTTTCAAGTTTCTGAATCAGGATCTTGAATATGTCAGACATTTGTATGTTTCACCATCAAAACCATAAACTAAACTGTATAAATGTGATCTTCTGAATAGTATAAATGATATTGCCATTAACAACGTACACTGTATGTGAATTCCTGACAATTTTAAAAGACAAACTATACTTCCTAGGGTAGTAAATTGTATGTGTGTATACATATCGCTGCATAAACACATGCACAGGTATCTTCTAAACACCTAAGTAAGATATTGGAATAACGTTAACTGGAACTTCATTAAGATGTTGGAGAAATGTGAAACTAATTGTGCTCATATACCAGAAAAACCGTTAACTTTGCATAGAGAGTACAAATACAATTGAGAAGTATGAACAAATGATGAATTTATCTGGTAGTTATATCCCTAACATATATAAAGGAGAAATTATAATAGGTCACAATTAGTATAAGTAATAATATCACATGTTTTTTTCTTTAAAAAAAAAGCAGATTCATTAAAGTACATGTAATTGAGCAAGGGATTTATCAGACTGGGATATTAAATGTATACTGCCATTAAGATTATGTGTACATATGCATTTAGAAATTAATTTTAGTTGCTTGGATTTTGAAGATACAGGAACTAACTTTTATGTTGTGTTGTAAAACAAATAACTTGATCAGAGGTAGCTCTTCCTACAACACTGGGCGTGTAGAAGGACCTGCCCCAGCCCTTTGTTCTCCGATTAGGAAAAAAATTGTAATATTCTTCAGCTGAATTCCTTTAAAGGATAATGAAATATTCAGAAGTTATAGATTTTAGTTTTTACCTGTATTTTATCTCAAGCTTGAGAAAAGATTTCTGTATTGGCCTGTATTTCCATTTGTAGGTTGATGGTCAGTCCGACTTTGGAGATAGTCGGGAGAGAGTGAAAAACTTCACATTTGACTATTGCTATGATTCCACTGTCGAGCCATCCTCCCCAGCCTTCGCCTCACAGGAACTGGTAAGTACTCGTGTAGATTGTACCTGGGAAGGAGAATGTACACTTACATGGCTGAGGGAGATTTAGACAAAGGACATAAGGTTGCTTAACCTCTGTAACAGGAAAGAGTGTGCTCCCAGCTTCCCAGTCCCCTGTTTAACCCCTATTCCCTCTAGCACAAAGGCAACTGTAACCTTGTGTACAATTAAAATCTGCAGTACCTCATTTATCAAGGCTCTTATCATCAGAGCTTCATCTTCCCAATACTTATATTGAGAAATTTAATAGTTTGTATGTGACTTCTCTTTTGTTTTGGATATTAACACCAAAATATCCTGATTCTACCTCAGCATTGGGATCAGAATTCACTTTCTTTGGATGGACCACTGACAACTTGTGTGTGATGACCCCGATCTGGATTTATTTACTGTCCGTGTTAAATGTACTGTTGTAGTAGCCTTAAATTGAATATTTGTTGTGCCCTTCAAATATAAAAGTTGCTATTTCTGAACATGAAACCACAGTAGAAATTTGTAGGTGGATACAGATTCGTACTGCATTCCTATGATATGTAGTGTTTCATGATTTGTAACCATATTACAGAGGTGATTTTTGTGTTGACAAGCAAACGAGAATGTTGGCAAGAACTAAAAATTGAACTTTTACATATGTAACCCTGATAGTAGGATTATGAGTCTTCAGTAGATCAGCAAATGTTGTAGAAACATAGTCAATATTTCTCAGCAGAAGATAGAAAGCAGCCTAGAAATCAACTACACATAGTATGATCATTGACTGTTGTAGGCGTATAGTGCAGTATTTAGCAGAGTCAGAAAGTCACAAATATTTTAAAAGTTTGTCCTAATTAAAAACACCTGTTAGATTGGAGTTAATTGTCTTGTCAAAAACTCCAGATAAGTAATCATACCTAACGAGGCAGGATTTTGTTCTGCTGTGCATGATCTCTAGTACAAGTTGGAGGCTTAACTTGAAGTAGACTGACTCATGTGGTAGATAAAATAGCCCTGAACAGATCGTATCTGGAGGGAGGTAGTTTTATATTGAATATCTATAAATATCACTAGTATCTTTTTTATTTGCAATTGAGAAAACAGAAATGGAATTTCAAGTTTTTAAGTTCAACAGCTGTATTGGTTCACGTGTTAATACAAACACACAACAGAGAAATACTTAAATAAGTACATTTCACGAATACAGCTGTTCTAGAACCCACAGGAGGTTACTGTTTGGTATAGGGTCTGTATAGTAATGTCCTGATTGTGTATTGGGCGGGATACATGTTAAAACTACATGGATTGCCTGATCAATGGGGTACAAATGGAAGCCCCATACCTGTACATAGACAGTGTTGGTTGTAGACTGGTATGATATGTTTATGTAACGTTATACAACTTACTGTGAAGGTTTGTCGGGCTTTATACAAATAGTAACACACCATCATTAATTAGTAAAAACATATGATGGGAAAAAGTTTGATGGGAGAGTTACACTATAATTACAGGGGAGCTGGAACAGCACTATGCTTCCAGGGAAACACTACCCTCTTGGGGACAGGAATAGGAGAACTGTGGAGGTGTGCGTGTGTGTGTGTGTGTGTGGGGGGGGGGTGTCACTATCTCCCAGGGGAAGACAAAATGAACAGCACCCTCCCAGAAGGGGAAGAGGAGCAGATGGACTCGGGGCTTGGGCCACTCATAGGATAACGTGTTGATAAAATGTATTGATGTTGATCCTACACACGTGTACTTGTAGGTATAAAACATCAATCATGACAGATTAGCATTGTATGAGATCACAAATTAACAAGCTTTATTGGTTGGAAAGGCCAGTGAGAGGTTGGGACAGAAATAGGTTTATGTCTGTAGTATTGTAAAATTAGTATATCTCCAATCCCTCAAACACCATCAAATGGCAGTTTGTTAGTCAAAATCATTTATTCGATATACATATATATCAAAACGGATAGAAATACATGCTTGTTCCCCAGTCTACTAGTTCTCCGCCACCTGCGTTATCAATGAGATTACAAGACTTTTGCTTGTAGAAAAGTCTTTATTATTTCAAAGAGGTAGTCAGACAGTCAAGTGTTTGTACTGCATTAGTTAAACTTTCATGTATGAGACATGAAACAAAAATATCACACATATTCTGGTTTACTTTATAATGAATCTTTTCGTTATGGAAGTAATGTTGGTACAGCTATTGTGTGTGTTGTGTTAGTTGTTGTACGGTCAGGTATAAACCTTTGTTGACTGTTTTTCTATTGTAGTTATATTGATATGTCGAGATACAGTTACAAGTACACACGTATATGACATTGTTGTCGTTCGTCATGTCAATTTTTCAGTCATTTGATAAAGAAAGTGTTTTGGTTAAGAAGGTGTTTGAACTAAAAATAAGATATTTTGAGTCCATAATAAGGGAATTCCACCAGATAGAATATCACATTGTGTAACTTTCGCCTGTACCTGTTTGTAAGTCTATATCTGTACATAACTGTTAAATGGCCTTGACGGTTATTACGGTACAGTATATCTTGCAGTGTTCCAGTATTTCAAATGTGTGTGAAAAACAGCTTGAATATTGAATTTGGTTTCGAAATAAGAATAAATAATATATTGTTTCAAATTTACCAATTGTCTGTCATGGATTCTTTATAAGGGAAACCTAAAAGGACAGGTGCCCTTTGTTCTTATTCTTTCACAGTTTTACTGTTCATCAAAGCTTGCATTTTGATCTTAAGAAATATGGGTATATGACAATCTTTTGTCCTTACTTATAGTATACAAAGATACAGTGTTTGAAGTTGATTTCTAACACATAAAAGCTGTTTGGTGTTCAATGTTCGGTCAGCCAATTTTACTGTTCATCAGGTTGGGTTAAAGTAGTAATTGAATTTTCTGCATGATTGATATAGATTTACAAACCACATCTTGTGTTGGAGCTAGGTCTGGTATGGTAAAGAGCTTGACATTTACAATAAAGTGTTGTTGGCTCAGAGAATGACATCAATAGTTCAATTATTTGGCCAGTGGGTGTGTAATTTTATAAGTGATCATAAAAATCCAATCAGAACTTGTTCTAACATTTTTCGGAGGTGTAATTTTTGGCCAGAATTTGTATTTTCCTATATACAGCATACTTTCTGTATTTTACCATAGTAATTGACCATGGTGTTATCAATATACAGATGATAACCATTGATTGGTATTAGCATGTTTTGATATTACTGCTATAAGCGTTAAAACTAGTAGATTTCATGGTTAGATACAGCTGCAGTAAGCTATGAAGTCATTTAGACAGAATAGTACAGTAGCCTTTTGAATTGGTTACCATAGTGAAGCATCCAGGTTAAAGTTGTAAGTCGTAATGTGTTTGTACAACTCGAAAGATGTGAGGAATGCATCTCTTTATATTGAGCTTGGGGTGATTGATTTCTGAACCGAGTAACAACCCGCTCTTGGCCTACCTGACTGTAGCACTAATGGTTACTAATGGAGTGACCTGCTGGTAGGAATAATTCCACATCAACACCTGCTGACAAAGCAGTATGTTCTCTTAACCTAAACAATAATTGACTTATTTCAAACTGGTTTCAGTTGGCATTCATAATTGATATGAAAGCCAACTGAAAGCTGTTCACTTTGTATATTCACCGTTATTTGAATATTTCGAGGGTCTGCAGTGTTCGAGTGGTTAAGGCATCTATGGTCACTAGCCATCCACCGCTGGGTCGCGGCGGGTTTGAGGCCTATGTGGGGCAGTTGACATGTACTGGCCACAAGTCGATGGTTTTTCAACGGGTACTCCGGCTTTCCTCCACCATAAAATCCTAGCATGTCCTTAAATGACTGTAGCTGTTAGTAGGACGTTGAACACTACAAACCAAACCAATTATTTGATCTGACATAAAATGAAATTGGTTTATCAAAAGAAATGCAGTTCAAATCAAGCATGTATTTATCCATTGTGGATGCTTATGTAATAAATGGAACGGTCATCTCGTATTATTGCACATAATTAACCATTACGTATATGTATATATAATGATGCAAAACAATCACATCGACAGTTTGCCCATGGCAGTTATAGCTCATCGCTAATTTGGTAAGGTTATATAATGATAATGAGTCTCCCTTATGCAAATTGACAAGTTTGAACCAAATCTAAAAAAAGTGACAGTTTTTTTCCTGTGAAAAGTTTAATTTTTCAAGGTGCATTGTTTGAAAGTTTGTGATGTATAACAATTGAGTCTCAGTTTTTTATTGTGTGTTTGAGTAGATAGATGCATGTAATGTTATTTAATTTTTGACATTTGATTCTTATATTGTATATGGCAATACCAGTATAAGGGAATATCTATTTTGTTGTTGTCCTGTTCTTTGAGGGGACAATTTGTGTTCGCTCTTCAGTTTTACCCCTAAAAGACATTATAAGTTTGACAGGTGAAAGGGTAGGTGGCATGAACTACTGGTAATTAGTATGTAGTACTGTCTCGTTACAATCAAGTCTAACAGAAGTGGTTACAAACCTGTACAGATTTACCTAGCCCACACTTGGCTGTCAAACATCAATGGAACAACACAACAGTTATTGTTACTTTATCTTTCTATCTCCTCTCCACAAAAGTCAAACTTCGGTAGGGATCAGTTTACTTTTGAAATGTTTTCATTCTTGAATTTTAAAAGTACTGGTGGACTAGCCAGACCATAATTGATTATTGAACGTAATTATTGTCAGTGATAATGTGAGCTTATTACCGTTATAATAGTGTACTTGTACAGACATAACAGTCACTGTGATTGATGTATATAGTAAATTGTATGTTAAGTTTATTCACTGGTATTATTATTATGTACAGTAGACTTATGATGTCTGTAGACAACCGTTCCTGACATTCCTACCAGTACTGTGTATAATATGTACAGTCAGCTTGCTGTAATGATTCATATTTCTGGTCAAGATTCCACTTCCTGTTGTTTTATGAATTGAAATAATTA